GTGGTGCCCACAGCTGAGGCTGAGGCGGCCGGAGCTGGTGACGGGGATGGTGGCGACTCTGGCCCCAACAGTGGCGACGTGGTGCCCACAGCTGAGGTGGCCAGAGATGCAGGGCCCATGGGAGGCCTTAGGGAGGAGGAGGGTGAGCAGGTGGCAGACCTGGCTGCAGCCCCCAGGAGCGGGAGCGCCAAGGAGGAATCCGACATTGGGCTGGTAGAGGTAGAGGTGGAGATGGAAGAGGAGTCAGAGTCAGATGATGAGGAGGAGGATGAGGAGGAGGAGGAGGACGAGGAAGAGGATGAGGAGGAGGAAGACGAGGAGGAGGAAGAAGAGGAGGAGGAAGACGAGGAGGAGGAAGAAGAGGAGGAGGAAGAAGAGGAGGAGGAAGAAGAGGAGGAAGAGGAGGAGGACGACTTCGACTTGGTCGCGGCCGCCCATCGCTACCCCATAGTAGGCTTTCGCGTGGAGTTCCTGGACATGGTCCACAACCTTCTCCACCGCATCTATCACAACGACCACATCCTGATTGGCATCCGTGGTGGCCGCCTGATGGAGGGGCCCCGCCCTGTGATGCCCAGCTCTGATGAGCCCCCACTGCTGGTGTCCGAGAGGCTGGGTGAAGGGGCCGGGGCCCCAGAAGGCGATGACCTGGGTCTGATCGAGGAGGCCGAGTTGGTCCCAGAGCCTGAGGTGCCAGCAGACCCGGCCGAGATGGCCAGGGAACCCGCAGAAGAGCCCGCGGAGGAGGCTGCAGAGGAGAAGCCTGCAGGGGAGGAGCCCGCAGAGGAAGCAGTGCCCAAGGGTGAGGAACAGGCTAGTGGCCCTGGTGGGGAGGCGGGGATCTGTACGCCTGAGGGCTCTAGGCAAGGTCACAGTGAGGGCACAGCTGGTAAAGTGGGTGGTGAAGCGGGGGTCGGGGCCTCAGATGGTGAAGTGGGGGTCAGGGCCCTCCTGAAAGCTAAGGCCGAATGTGTCCCAATGAGTTGAAGCCCAATTCTCTAACGACCTCTATGGTTTTGAGAAAACATGCCACCCTCTACCAAACTGTTTTTGATAGGAGATCTATCATCGATCTCAGAGGAACCAGCCACAGAGGAGGCCACAGAGGAACCAGCAGTGGAGGAAGCAGCCACAGAAGAGAAGCTGGAAGTGGCTGCAGAGGAACCAACCGCAGAGGAACCAGACTCAAAGGAGGCCGTGGCTCGTGAGGGTGAGGAACCGGCTAGCGGCAGCCAGGGGGGTGGGGTGGGGTGGGGTGGGTGGGGTCGGGTGGGGGAGGTGGGAAAGAAACATGTGCACCCAAGGGCTCTGGGCAGCGCCGTGGTGTGGGCACAGCTGGTGAAGCGGGTGGTAAAGCGGGGGTCGGGAGGCCCTCCTGAAAGTTAAGGCCGAATGTGTCCCAATGAGTTGAAGCCCAATTCTCTAACGACCTCTATGGTTTTCAGAAAATATGCTGCCCTCCAGCAAACTGTTTTTGATAGGAGATCTGAGATCAACGATCTCAGAGGAACCAGCCACAGAGGAGGCCGCAGAGGAACCAGCAGCGGAGGAAGCAGCCACAGAAGAGAAGCTGGAAGTGGCTGCAGAGGAGGAACCCGCTGCAGAGGAACCGGCCGCAGAGGAACCAACGGCAGAGGAACCAGCCTCAAAGGAGGCCGTGGCTCCTGAGCGTGAGGAACTGGCTAGCGGCAGCCAGGGGGCCAAGGCGGTGGGAGGGGAGAAGGAACACTTGCACCCAAGGGCTCTGGGCTAGCGCTGTGGTGTGGGGACAGCTGGTGAAGCAGGTGGTGAAGTAGGGGTTGGTTGGGACCTTCCTGAAACTTAAGGCTGGATGTGTCCCAATGAGTCAAAGCCCAGTTCTCTAACAACCTCTATAGTTTTGAGAAAACATGCCACCCTCTACCAAACTGTTTTTGATAGGAGATCTGAGATCTGAGATCTCACAGAAACCAGCCACAGAGAAGGAGCAGGAAGAGAAACGAGCTGCAGAGGAGGAGCCCCCAGAGGAACTGGCCGCAGAGGAAGCCGTGGCCCCCGAGGGTGAGGAACAGGCTAGCGACAGCGGCCAGGAGGCAGGGAGGCGGGAACCGTGCACCCGAAGGCTCTGGGCAGGGCCGCGGTGCAGGCACAGTTGGTGAAGCGGGTGCTAAAGCGGGAGTCGAGGCCCTCCTGAAAGTTAAGGCCGAATGTGTCCCAATGAGTTGAAGCCCAATTCTCTAACGACCTCTATAGTTTTGAGAAAACATGCTGCCCTCTACTAACCTGTGTTTGATAGGAGATCTGAGATCATTGGTCTCAGAGGAAGCAGCCGCAGAGGAACCGGCGGCGAAGAAACTTGCCGCAGAGGAGGAACCGGAAGATAAACCAGCTGCAGAGGAGGAGCCTGCAGAGGAACCCGCCGCAGAGAAATCGGCCGCAGAGGAACCGGCGGCGGAGGAACGGTCCACAGAGGAGTGGGAAGAGAAACCCGCTGCAGAGGAGTCTGCAGAGGAACCAGCCACACAGGAGGCCGCGGCCCCCGAGGGTGAGGAACTGGCAAGTGGCAGTGGCGAGGAGGAGGGAACACGGGTGCCTGAGGGCTCTGGGCAGGGCCACAGTGCGGGCACAGCTGGTGAAGTGGGTGGTGAAGTGGAGGTCGATGCCCTCCTGAAACTTAAGGCCGAATGTGTCCCAATGAGTCAAAGCCCAATTCTCTAACGACCTCTGTGGTTTTGAGAAAACATGCCGCCCTCTACCAAACTGTGTTTGACAGGAGATCTGAGATCATCGATTCCATTTGCAAACCTACAGATGAATGGCCGGGTAAATAGGGGTTTAGGAGGGAGCTCCACAGGAAACAGAAGGGACACCCAAAAGAAAAGAATAGGCAAATGGCACACATCCTTTTTGGTTCGTGGCTTTTCTTAGAAAGTTGATTCCCCAAGTAATGAAGTGATACAGGAGCCCTTGGTAAAAATGAAGCATTCAGGGGTTTAGGAACCAATGAGCTTCACCACAGAATTTGTCTTTTGAGGCAACAAATATTTTCCCAACAAGTTCTGACCAAAACACTTAGAATATGATCAGCCCTGATGATTCTGATCTCTTTTTCTCCAAAGAACTAGAAAGAATCAGCAGTTTTGGGTGGAAGATTTACTGGAAAAAAGGGAAATAGTGTCACTGTGGAAATGATCAAGTGGCAGCAATGTGAGGGCCATGGAAATGTTGTGAAAAACCAGTAGGAAGGTGCCTAGCTATTCCTTTCTTAGTTAAATCTATCCTCCTGCTCCTGAGGCTGGAGTACTGGATGCTAGTTGTAAATTAGGCTATATTTTCTGTGAATGCCTAGTCCCAACATCTGTATCATTCTTTACTAAAGAAGTCACTAAATATCAGTATGAAAAGTGGGATGAAGAGGCCCAAGGTGCTGCAGACGAGGAAGAAAAAGAACAAGAAAAAGAGAAGGATGCGAAAAACAAGGTGAAGAACTCCAAAGGCACAGCAGGGTGGAAGCCGAGGAAATCCAAGTATGTGTGTATAGCTTTCAGAATCACTCTACTATTCCTGGCATTTACCTGTTACTGACAGTTTTATTTTTTTTTTAATTCCCAGTAAACTAAGAAAAAGTTTTAAATTAGTTTAAAAATTCAATTTAACTTACTTAAAATGTTACTAGAATATTCATGTACCTAGTAATATGAACTGCAATGTGGTCTGAAATATACTTCATGGCTACTCATTTGTTCATGTTGAGGTCTTTTTTCCTCTAGCTGCAAGACTATTAACAAGTGGCCAATGTATCAAACCTAATACCTAAGACCAATATTTGTGTACAAACAGTTTCCAGATGCAGCAGCTAACTTAGCTGGGCCACATATTAGTTGGGCCTTCATTACTTAGCCACAGAAATGCAGGCTCCCATAGTAACTAGGAGACAACTCAATGCCCTTTACAAAGTGACTAGTTACAAATAGCAAAAAGCTAAGAATTTCAAGTAGGACCACATTTAATGACTAATACCTAAATATTTGTTTAGCTCTATATTTTTGTATTTTATGTGACAAATGAAAAGAATGTGTGTAATTAAGTCTTAAGGTATATCTGTCTTTGAGTATATTTCAATGGTTAACAACTTTTCTTTTTCTTTTTGCATTTTCACAGCTGTATATTTCATAACAGCTTCTTCCCCATATGGTAGATATGGAAACCAAGGGTCTGGGAGGGTAAAGGAGTATCATTTGTGGAACTAGCACAGGCTGTTAAAGCTTGAGAGATTTATTTAAATCCCAGAATTGCTTCTCACATAAAAACAACAACAACAAGCTTTTCTGGTGCTAGGCAGACAAGGTTGGTGTGATCATTTGACTGGAACCAGTTCCACAAGCACCCTGATATCTAAGCTTGCGAGTTACACACACACACACACACACACACACACACACACACACACACACACACACAAAAGGTGTTCTCTATTTGTTTAAGACATAGCACACAAATGTTGCAGATATACACAGAGCTGACCATTTTCTTCTATTTAGAAAGTTGGTGCTGGTTAATGTTATACCATTGTTTGTTTGTTTTTTCATTTCATCCTGCAGTTGGGAGGAATAGAAAGATGAAGAAAGAAAACTCTGTTGTTCATTGTTTTTATTTTATTTTTTTCAGATCCCTGTGAGAATTTATGACATGTATTATTCCAAAGTTTGTTACCTCAAAAGTAATATGTAGTGACACCTAAGTTTTATCTTTAGTGAATGTATTTGACAGTATTTGTTCAAGTTAAAAATAAAAGTTTGTTTCAAATGAATAAACTGAAACATGGCCAAAAATAATTAAAATGTCAAATTTAAAACAATTTTTGAAAAGAGAGAGATGGGGCTCAAGTCTTTAGAGCTGTGTCATCTACTACTTTAGGCACTAGTAATGTTATGGCTAGTGAGCACTTGTAATATGGCTAGTCTGATTTAATATATGCTTTAAGTGTGAAAATAATATTGCACATTTTACTAATGATTGTTACACTGGTTACATGTTGAAATGATAATACTTGAAATAAAATGAAATATTAAAGTTTGTGTTGGTTTCTTTTTGTTTTTTAATGTGGCTACTAGAACATTTAGAATTACCCATGTAGATCACATTATATGTCTATTGGACAGTGCTGCTCTAGAGCATGGTTTTGAAGAAAACTTCACGGATGGCCCATGTTGCCTGGAGGCCACATGGTATTGCTGAGCTTGGGTCCAGACTTTGATCTGGAGCAGTGGTTCTCAAAGTTTGGTTCCCCAAACAGCATCATCAGCATTACCTGGGAATTCTCAGACTCCACCCAAGACCTATGGGATCTGAAAATCTGGGGTGGGGTCAGCAAGCTGTGTTTTAACAAGTCCCCCAGGGGCTTCTGATGAACACTAAGGTTGGAGAGCCACTGGTTTCAAGCAACAGAGGAAGAAGCTGTGCTTCACCTCCTGTCAGACCGGCCTTAACTCACTGGCTAGGGGCTGTTTCAGGTAAACCGAAAGGGACAGCAAGGGCTGGGCTGGGGAGGAGACTAGAACTCACAGGGGCTGCGGCCTGCATAAAGGAAAAAGTCGGTCCAAAAGGATACAAACATGATACCATGTATATGACTTCTAAGAAAACATACTAATGATCACCATAAATTGATTGTGGGTATATACATAGAGACTAAAAGGTGTACATGTAAGAGATGGATACAAATGAGGCATACAGAAAGGTGTGCATTTGAAAGACGAGCACTTTTGAGACGATGGTTACCTCTCAGGGAAAGAAAGGGAGGGATATTCAAGTAGAGAAGGCTCCACAGCAGGCATCAACTGTATTTGTAATGTGACATTTCTTAAGCTGAGTAGTAGATACATGGATGTTTATAGTAATGTTTTCTACAATTCTGTGTAGGTCTGAAATATTTCTAAAGCGGGACGGGGAAGGGGAGCAGTTCTTCCCACACCGCTGGGGCAGGAGTCAGAATTCTAGAACCCAACCTGGCCTTTGAGGTCATTATGAAGGTACAGTTGTCATAATGATAACTGTAGATAAACCATTAAATAAAACATGTTGTATTCATTGATTTAAACATTTCAAATATTTAGACATATGGTATGTGGATCCCAAGTTGAACTCTTGTTCTGAAACCTGAAAATGTTACAGGTGGGACAGGCTCAATATCTAGCTGATAACCCCTTTCCCTTCCTCCCTCCCTGCCGCTTTGTTTCCTGAGCATGGTGGGGCCCCTTGCTTCTGAAAAGCACTTGTTCCAGTAGCCCATCTTGCTATACAACTTGGACTTAATCCCTGACCCAGGCTAGACTGCAACCACCAACCGCCGTGTCCCTTCTACTCACCCCCAAGCGCACCCCTCTCCATTCGCTCTCTTTGCTCTCCAGGCGTTCATACACAAAACCTAATAGCCCTTCTCCCCCATACCAAATATCAGTGCCCACCTGGAGGCCATCAGCTTGGTCAGGCACACCTGTGTGGAGGCCCTTTATTCTCAGCACCACCTCTTAAGAACATTTGACTTACCTGACAACCTTCAGCTTTGAGTTGTCAATATCCTATCTGATTTCCTGCCCCATGTCACAGACAGAGATGGACTACAGAATAGGCTTTATTGAATTTATTTGCTTTGCATATATCATAAATCAAGAAAGCTAAAGAAGTAGAAAACTTGTCAGAATGTGCTTTTAGCATTTAAAAAGAACTCAATCTCTTCATTTCAAAACAGAGCTTTGTTGTTAACTGTGGAAAAGAAATTGTTACTGGAGAGTTGTCAGAGTGAGAATAACTGAATACAGGTTCACTGTAAAAAAGGGAAGGGAGGTATAACAGCTAATCTACCAGGAGTACTGGGATAAAGGGCATCTACCTTAATATATTGTTCACTATGGGAATACAAAAGAAGTGAAATTCACTCAGTCAAAAACCTAGCATTATCCAAATGGCAAAGGCACAGTATCAGGAAAAATAGATGTTATATAGAGAAAATGCAAAATCTAGCATGTGATTGTACCATGTCACATTATACCAGCATCAACAAAATCCAGCACCAAGTGTTTAGCTCTGACACCTCAGTGCCTCTCTGGATTTTTTTTTTTTTTGCATGGGGCAGCACCCCACTCAGAATATAAAGGCACAGTCGGATGCCCAGGCCTGCATTTCTATTTAGCAAAGCAGCACAGTGTCACAGAAGCAGACACAGTCATAACTATACTGAGAAGTTACTTCTGGGTCTCCTAGAAAAAATGAGCTAGACTTACTACCCAGGCATCCAAAGGGAGCTCTCCTTTAGTGTTTGGTGGGTTTGGGGGATGGAATGAAGGGAAAGACATAAAAAGGAAGATTTAACTAACTTCTAGTGAACCTAGATGAGATTCTGGGGTGGTCTGCATATTAGAAAGCCAGCCAATTAAGGAACCGGCTCTGGGGGCAAAGGTGCCTACATCTTTACCCTCAGCCGAGGAGCTGTTAATGGAGGCAGTGCTGCAAAAGAAAAAGGCTGTGTGGCAAGATGGAAAAGGAGGCATCAACATGTGCTGGGCTACTTGCCCCCTCCCCTCATAGCTGACCATCCCTCTCATCCTCTTTCTCACTCTTCCGTTTTGGCCTTCCCTCTTCTCCGTGGCTGGGGGATGAGTGGGTCACTGGAAGGTAGGGTCTCTCCAGCCTAGTAACTTTTGAGGTGTGTGCCTCTAGGAATGAGTGGGAAAATACTGATTTACTCAAAGCTTCCAGTTAGCAGAAAGTTCATTTCTCTGTGGCTTTTGGATTGCACTCTTGCTTTGGGCTAAAACCTTGTGAAGCAAAGACAGCTGAGGAAAAAGGACAAGAAGCTTCATGGAGTTCTGCACCTTAAGGCTGGAACCAGAGAGGAAGGAACTCCAGTTGCCCCAGATGTGCATCAAGGTGGCAAGCTTGCCATCTGCTTGATGGTAAGTACAGCTTTTGGCACCTGTAGAGCTCTAATTTCAAAAGGGTCTTCAGTGCTTAACAGGATATATATGACAGGCAGTGATTTCTGTGCAATCAGCGGGGGTCACAGTAGTATTGGGATGAGAGGCAAAACACTGATGGACTAACCATCCAGAGGATGAAGATAATTTCCAAGAAGCATTCTGCCTCATAGGGAGGTGCTGCAGCCAGGCCTGTGACAGGTCGACATGGGGCATGTGCCAAGAGGGAGCTTTGTGTAAGTGTTCTGTATGTTACTATCACTCAAGGTGAAAGCATCAGGGGCCCTCAGGGACACAGGGAAGATATTTCAAGGGGTGGTAGGCTGATTGGAGAACTGGCTGTGCAGAGATTTTCTTGGAGACCCAGAATTTTCACTTCCACCACCTCTTCTAGGAGCCTTTGCAAAGCTTGGAGCAACAACCAAATAATTGTAGCATCCATCTAGGCTCATAAATCCTAAAGGCCAATCTTTGCATCAAATCATCCGAATGTTTCCATTAGAATCACTTTATTTGGCTAAGAGAAATGACAATTTTTTAGTTGCTCCAACAAAATGTTTTTGTTTTATCCCTTCTAAAGCACATTGTCCAAAGTTAAAGACTTTGCAATTCTACAGCAGTGCAAATGTTTCCCATAGTTTTAATAGAGAAAATGCTAGGTTTCTGGATGCTGGCAGTGACTATATGGAAGGTGAAGCATTCACGGCATTTATTTCATTCAAATAATTATGTTTTAATTCGCATTTCTAATGCTATGTTGCTTAATAAATTCTTATTTTGCTTAATAAATTCATACTTTGCTTAATACTTATTTTGCTTAATAAAAGTGGTCACACGGTGAAAAGATCACTACATAGAATTAATATGGTTATTAGCAATTATCATTTAAAATGCTGATGCTCCATACAAGAGCTCTTTATTCTGTGGTCTCTGCCATATGGCTCCATGCTTTGGCTTTCTTCCTGGCCAGGGAGAACCAGACAGGCTCAACTGGCTCACCTGGCTTTTGGAACTTGGCTGGGAGAGTTGAAGATCGTTTGGTTTCTTTTTCCATGGCAGGCATTTGCAGTATCTTCTGAGCCTCAAATCCAACTGGAACCACAGAAAATAACACACAAGCAATAAAGAACCCCAGAGATACTTGGGTATGTTGTTTATAGAATGTCCTAAAATGTTTCTTCCTTTCAGGTTTCCTCTGATCCCCCTGCTCTAGTGCTTTATAGACCCTTCTCCCTTTGGTGCCAGACCTTCTAAAAGTTAATGCCTACGTGATGCCAAGAGTGGTATGTCAAAGGGGTAAAATCAACATGGCTATGGCCACAGGGCCATGGGCATCAGAAGGCCTGGGAGGTAGTACTTATGGCTGTAACTGCCAATCTTCGGGTGGCTATTACTGGATTGTCTTACATCTTCGGACTGAGACCAGAGGGAAACATATCGTATCTGCTCAGTTTCGAAAATTTCACATAAGGTAATGTTATTTGTGTTTTGCATGAAGCGAATTGATTGATGACTCAATAGATGCACGCAGTAAAAATTGATGGTAAATAATATTGTACTAACCCAACTACCCCATCCAAGCAGACTACTTTCCCTATTCCTAATTCTACTCCCTCCCTCATCCTGCTTATGGTCAATTTACCTAGTGATTTAGACTCAACCAGTGGTTCTCAATCCTGGCTACACATTAGAATCACCTCGGGCTCTTTTAAAAATACCAATGCCCATGGTGTTTCCAGAAGCAAATGAACTAGAATCTCTAAGGATAGAGCCAGGACAATCTGTAATTTTTAAAAAAGCTCACCAGGTGATTCTGATGCAGAGTGACAGTTGTGAAACACTTGATAGTAGTATAGTGCCCATGAAGCCATTAATAGCTGTGAGCAAGTCAACTGCTGCTATTTCATGGCCAGACAGTGGGTTCCTGAATTCCTACTCTAATTTCTTAAAGATGGTTCAATATAAATCCATCCTGTCCTCCCCTGCTCCTGCTGAAAAAAAATTCTCTCTAGCACACAACTCTTTCTGGTGAGATCACATTCTATTATGTCCCAGTGGAGTATTCCTCTCAGCTGTCAACATTTCCTCACCACTTACACATCCCTGCTCAGAATACAGAGAAGCTGAAACAAGCCTACTAAATAATTTAAAACAATTTAATACCATTGGGCCTTTACAGTGAATTATTTTCAACAGTTTCATTGGAGATGTAGAAAGTGAGAAAATACCACTTTGCTATGAACTGGAAAGTGACTTGGTACTTTCCTCTTGCATAACCAGCCAGAAGAATGTTTCAGTGAGTGACCACAGTTTTGTGCCTAGACAGCTTCTTTGATGAGCCAAAAGACTGGAAGACCCTCTGAAAGTTATACACTGGACTTGTATAAGTCAAAATAATTAGATTTTCCTAAAATAAGCTAATATCTCTATCTAATTAAAGAGCCATGAGAGAAATCATTAAGCTGACTTGGGAGATAAGAGACAAGTATTATCTGAGCTTGAAATTGCAAAAGTTTCAAAACATTCTGCCAGGGCTGTTTTTTGAGAGATCGGAATATATGCTTTTACCTGATTTTATAGGCTTAAGTGGCTTCATCTGTGCTCTCTTCTCCTGTTTGTAGACATTGGAAGTGAAAATCTTTTTAGCTTGGTTTTCATTTGCAGGGCCAGCTCCCTTTAACACAAAAATGAAAACAGAAAGCTTGTTAAGTTTTGACATTAAAATGGCAGATTGCTTATACAGAGGGCCATCAAGTGCAAGCCCTGTCCTGGGTACTATGAGTTCAACAGTATCCAAAAGGAAAGATTAGAGATACAGAGATAGATAAGGAGAGAAATAGCATTGAGTCTTTTTGCTTAAAATTTACATTCACAAAACCTAAACTGGCTCAAGTTTACCACCTTTCAGACTAGAAAAAAAGAATTGTCTAAATTTACAGATAGTGTAAGCAGGTTAACAGGAGAATTATTTAACTTGAGAACAACCTTTTCCTTAGCACTTTACTAGCACTTAACAGCAAGCTAAGTTGCAAACTTAATAGTTTAATAATAGTTGCAAACAAATCTGATCAATTCATTGAAGTGAGTTCCATAAGATTTCTACTTTTCAAAACTAGCTGACATATGTCTTGAAGGGTTCCTCACATTAGAAAGTAATATAATAGTAGGTCTTTCCAAAATTTTGCAGTTTATTCTTTTTAAATTAACCTCTCCACAATTGGTCTAAATTAGTGAATTTATAAACACTAACTTATCCCTCATGACAAAAGCTTTAACCAGGCTGAGAGCTGAGTTGCCTATAATCCCAACACTTTGTGAGGCACAGGTGGGAGGATCACTGGAGCCCAGGAGTTCAAGACCAGCTTGGGCAACATAGTGAGCCCCATCTCTACAAAAAATTTAAAAATTAGCTGGACATGGTAGCACATGCCTATAGTGCCTATAGTCACAGCTACTGTGGCGGGGATGAAGGGGAAAGATTGTCTGAGCCTAGGAGGTTGACGCTACAGTGGGCTGTGATTGCGCCACTGAGCTTTAATAAAGGTGGGCTTTACCCCCATATGATCCTGCCCCCATGTATATACTAATGATGAAAAAGAAAAGACCTTTAAAGCAAAGAGTTAAACAGGTCCTCGCATGGTCCTTCAACAAATTTAGTAAGCACTTAAAAGTATAGGAACTTAAACATATCTCTTGATATGTGAATTTGGTATGTTTCCTTAAGTCAGTTTTCTGCAGTTTTGATGAGTGGGGAGAAAGGCATCCCATCATCTCTTATCCACATGTGGTAGTTAGCCTAGTTCACTACATAACATTTTTTAACTTACAGGTAGGTGCCACACCAAACCAAATCAATATATAGAAATCCAAACATCAAACGAAGAAAGGGAATTTGTGTACTGATATGGAAAAGGGCCTAGAAATAAAATGTTAAATGTAAAAAATAGTATTTATAGTTTGATTCCGTATACATTTTGATAGGCATAAAATATCTGTAAAGATAGTCAACTCTTACCCCAGTGATTACCTTTAGATATTTTTTTAAGCTATGAGGATGCAAAGGCATAAGAATGATACAATGGACTTTGGGAACTCCCGGGGAAAGGGTGGGAGGGGGTGAAGGATAAAAGGCTATGAATTGGGTTACAGTGTGTATTGCTCGGGTGATGGGTGCACCAAAATCTCACAAATCACCACTAAATAACTTACTCATGTAAACAAATACTACCTGTTCCCCCAAAACCTATGGAAATAAAAAATTTAAAATATAGTAAAATGACTTACTCCTTTTTTCTCAACCAATTTGTGGAACTTTGCTTTAGAATATTGAGGGCAGGACTTGTTGTGTAGATTCTCTCTATATTCATGACTTTGCATAACCTCTCCCCTACTTTTGAGACAGAGTCTAACTCTGTCACCCAGGCTAGAGTGTAGTGGTGTGATCATGACTCACTACAGCCTCCACCCCTGGGCTCAAGCAATCCTCGCACCTCAGCTTCCTGAGTACCTGGGAATCAGTGCATGCCATCACACCTGGCTATTTTTTTGTATTTTTAGTAAAGACAGAGTTTCAGCATGTTGCCCAGGCTGATCTTGAACTCCTGAGCTCAAGCAATTCACCTGCCTTGGCCTCCCAGAGTGCTGGGATTAAGCAGGAGCCACTGCACCTGGCCTGCACAAACCCTTTAAGAGCATAAAAGCAGGGCATGTTTGTATAAATGCAAAGCAAGTCTTTTTCCCCGAAGAGTCCCCCTGCCTTGATTAATGCTCCCAAAGAGATGGGGAGCTGCATGTCAGCAAAGTTCCCAAAGGAAGCCTAATCAGTGATTCCAGCAACCTTTTTGGAGTGTTCTCTAGGCTACCCCAGTTCCTACCCCATATTTAGGCTCCTTAGTTTCAGCCTTGGCTCCAGCTCTGCTCTTGGTTTTCAGCTCTTTCATAGGAATATGGGCCTTGAAACCCATCTGCTTCTGCTTTGCCATAGTTATCCAAGCTGGCTCTGAGATGGCATAATCTGACTGTTGACCAGCAGGCTTTCCTGAGAAAGGAATGAAAGAAGTTAGAACTGAAGCAAGGCAGGCAGGGTCCTGAACCTGGCTAGGGCTTACCCACAATAATATTCCAAATGGGAACTTGTTACTTGCCAAAGGAAAATAAACACATATCAAGCATAGAAGCCCCCCCCCCCCCATTTTGGGCCCTCCCTACAGCTTGGCAAGGCAGAAGTTCCTTGGGCAGTAAAGAAGCTGACTTAAAAGTGGGCATACTGTCCCTTTATTGGACCTTTCCCTTCCCTTGTCCATCCCTCTTCCCATCTGCAAATCAGGGCAAGACAACGTTTGCCAGGTGGGTAGGGAAAATTCCAAGGAGGCCAGAGGCTCAGGCCATTGATGCCTTTCCTCTAACTCCAAGAAAAATCTTAGAGTATTTATTGCTTCATAGTCCCTCGCACAAGTATGTGGTTACATGAGTGTGGTTACAGGAATATAAAAGACTTTCCCAAGGACAGAGTGTGAAAGTCCAAAGGTTTTGGGAGACGTTAGTGCCCCAAAGATTACCTAGCTCTGGATTCTTAGATATTTCAGGTGAGTGAAGAAACATTTATGGTAAATTAAGATTTCAGGCTGAGAGACTGAACATAATGCTCTACTAATGAGTTGGCCTCAAAAATCCACATGATGTTAGGGAGGGGCTTAATACATGTAAAAGTATTTTAAGAAAAGCATAAAATTCCATCCAAATATAAGGTGTACAGAGGGTGTGGAAGAGAGAATGGGGAGGCGGTTATGTGTTTATTATGGAATGTGGATGAATGTCCAGAGGGGAACTGTATTGGGAAAGGGAAGACTCAAAATTACCTCCGAATCTATTAAATCTAGAATGGGGCACTATTATGCTCCCAAACCCATTAGCAAGCCCTGTCAAAGCCACAATTCAGTACGCAAGGCCATAACAGACTTTAATGCCCATTCAAGGCTTTGCTTTCCAGTTCTTCTTTCCACTTGATATCTACTAGCCATCTGGAGAGATAAAAGCCTTACCTGGGGTCTTGCAAGCAGGTTGCTTCTTGGCCATGCTTTCAGATTTTGGCCTGCTCTGTTGCTTCTCTGCAAAGTTAGATATTTTGGTGAGGTTCCCTGCAGCACTCAGGAGCCCCTCGGAAGTGCTTCTTCTGATTTTATGCTCCTTACCTACAAAGGATGAAACTGGGCCCAAGGGCACTGAAGCAAGCTGGGTGAAGTAATCTTGTTTCTCACTCTCATACTTCTGCAAGGAAGGGACTCTTCTCAGTCGAACTCCAAAAAGGTTTTCAACATGAGCCTGGTTGGATAGGCCTGAATGCTGGTTATTATTTCCATCACTACTCTCAAGAACTTCTTCCTTGGAGTAAATGCCCTTAGAAGTGGATGTTTGCCCAGTAGGGGCAATAGTGAACTTCTCAGGTTTGGTAGCAGGGGCCAGGATGCTCTTTATGCGGTTTTTGGAACCTTGGCTGAACTTCTTGGTTTTGTTTGCAAAAGCTTGATCTCTTTGTAGGAACCAGTTGTCAGAATTGCTCTCAAAAATAGATCGCCCAGCACCAGCACCCACAGAACTTGAATGAACCTGTCGCTGGAAAGGGCTACTTGGAGGCAGGTGCTTCTCACTGCTGCTCCGCTTTATAGGTACATTCGCTGGGCCCATTGATGACATCCGTGGCTGGACTTGAGACCTATCTGAGGCTTGGGAAGAATGTTTGGGAGGCAGCTGCTTTTTGGAATTCCTCCACTCTTCAGGAGAGCTGGCAGAAACAGAAGAGACTTCTTGCTCATACTCAAGTTTCCCCAAGGCCTGGGAAAGCTGTCTGGGAGGCAGCTGCTCTTTAGAACTGCTGCATTTCCCAGGAGCACTCTGTGAATATGAGAAAACTTCTTGAACTTCTTGGGGGTCTTCAGGTCTCCCCAAGGACTGTAAAGGGTGCTTCATAGGCAGCATCTTCGAAGCAATGCCTCCCTTAGGATTAGCATTCCCCCAATCTGAAAAAACTTGGTGCTTGACTTTAGGCTTCAACGAAGATTTGGAAGGAAGTTTTGGAGGCAAAGGTGCCACATCACCACCCCTCTTAAGAGCAGAGCTCTCTGAAAAGATCTGCTGTGCCATAAACTTCACGAATGACTGGGCAGGACGTCTGGGAATCAGTGATTTCTTAGAAATGCCTTCAACAGCTGTGTTCTCTAGACGCGAGGCCATTTCTTGAACTTTAGACCTCGTTAAGAACTGGGTAGGATATTTTGGAGGCAGTGGCCCCCCAGAAATGCCTGCTTCAATGGCAGTGCTCTTGAAATTTGAGGACAATTGCTGGATTTTATCCCTCACAGTAAACTGGGAAGGATGTCTGGGAAGCAGCGGCTCCTTAGAAATGTTCCCTTCAACAGTAGTGCTTTCTGGATCTGCAGAGAGTTGATACAGTTGCTCAAATTTAGGAGTCACCCATGGCTGGAAAGTGTATTTGGAAGATGCCACAGGACTGCTCCATTCTGAAGAAGTGCTCATTGAACCTGAGGAGACTTCTTGCTCTACTGCTGGTCTCATCAGGGGCTGAGAAGGCTGTCTGGGAGGCCTCAGCTCCATAGAAGCAGTCCCTTCAGCTGCAGTGCTCTCTGGAGCTGCGGAGACTGGTTGCTCAAATGTAGGGCTCACCTGTGGCTGGAAAGGGCTTCTGGGAGATGTTGGCTCCACAGAGCTGCACCTTTCTGCAGAAATGCTCATTGAATCCAAGGAAATTGCTTGCTTGGCTCTTGATCTCATCCTGCGTTGAGAAGGCACTCTGGGAGGCAGTGGATCTGTATAAATGCCCCAGTCAGCAGCAGCAGTCTCTGGACCTGCAAAGACTTCTGCAAAGACTTGTTGCTCAAATGTAGGGATGACACATGGCTGGAAAGGATGTCTGGGAGGCATCGACTCCATAGAAATGCTCCCATCAGCTGCAGTGCTCTCTGGACCTTCAGATACTTGCCGCTCAAATTTAGGACTCGCCCGTGGTTGGAAGGTTTGTCCAGTAGGCATTGGCTCCACAGGACTGCTCCATTCTGCAGAAGTACTCATTGATTCTAGGAACTTAGGCCTTCCAGAGGGCTGGGAAAGGCATCTGGGAGGCAGCGGCTCCACAGAAGTGCCTTCCTCAACAGCTGTGCTTTCTGAGATTTGCTGGATTTGAGGATCTGTCAAGGACTGAGGAGAATATCTGGGGAGCAGTGGCTCCGCAGAGATGACTTTCTCAACAGCAATGTCCTCTGAATCGGAGAACATGTTCTGTTGAACTTTAGGGTTCATCAAGGGCTGGGAAAGAAGTTTAGGAGGCAGAGGCTTCCTAGAAACACTTTCTTCAACAGCCATGATCTTTGGAGATGAGGAAACTTCTTGCTCCACTTTTGGATTCACCCGTAGCTGGAAAGGGTGTTTGGGAGGGATTTGCTCCACAGAAATGCTCCCCTCAACAGCAGCAGTCTCTGGACCTGCAGAGACTTCTTGCTGGACTTCTGGGCTCATCAGGGGCTGAGAATGCTGGCTGGGTGGCGGGGCCTCCACAGAAGCAGCCCCTTCCATGCTTGTAATTTCTGGACTTGAGGAGCCTTGTTGCTCTGCTTTAGGCCTCATCCGGTGCTTAGAAGGAATTTTGGGAGGCAGGGGTTCAAGAAAAATGCCCCACTCAACAGTAGCACTCTCTGGACCTGTGGAGACTTTTTGCTCAGATTTAGGACTCGCCCATGCCTCGAAAGGGTGTCTTGGAGAGACTGGCTCCACGGAACTGCTCCATTTTGTAGAAGTGCCCACTGAACTGGTGCGAACTTGTTGCTGAACAGCAGGACTCATAATGGGCTGAGAAGGGCGTTTGGGAGGCAGCTGCGGCACGGAAGCATTCTGCTCTTCAGGAGTATTCTTTGAAGCTGAGGCGACTTCTTGTTGGTCTTTGGGCTTCTCCAAGGCCTGAGCAGGGTGTCTGACAGGCAGGTCTTCCTCCGAGCTGCTGCAATCCTCAAAACTGTTATACTTCTCAATATAACTGCTTGAGTCTGTGAAGACTTCATCTTCGGGCTCTTCTAAAGCCTGGGAAGGGCATCTGGGGTCCAGCTCCTCCTCAGAGCTGCTCCAGTCCTCAACCAAACTTTTTGATTCTGAGAAGACTTTTTGTTCATCTTCAAACTTCCACAAGGACTGGGAAGAGTGACCACAAGCCAGTTCTTCAGAACCATCCCCCTCCTCAGGAATATTCTCTGAATCTGAGGAGACGTCTTCAGCATCAGGCTTCCTTGAGGACTGAAAAAGGCTTTCAGGAGGCAGACTCTTGGCATAAACATCTCCTTTGGCTGGAGTACCTGTCGTACCCAAAACACTTGTTGTAAAGGCCTGGTGAACATTTCCAGAAGGCTTTTCTTTGCAGATAGTTTGAACATCCTGGGCTGACTCCGTTTTGGATTGGGCCTTTTGTGACTCAAAGCTGAAAGCTTCTTTCTCTTGTGACTGGATATGAGAAGGATCTGTCAACACTTGAGCCTCTGCTGCCACTGAGAGAATGGCCTCCTCTTGGGTTGTAGAAGGGCTTTCCACCATCAATGAAAGAGAAGCTGTGGCTTCTGTCTTCTCAGCTGCAGGAGCCCCATCTTCATGGTATGGTTGTGGATCAGTAGCCATGGGATTTTTCATGTCTTCAGGTATAGGCTGTGTTGCTGATGCTTTTCTGGATCCGAAATCTATGCCAGCATTTCTCTTTCCCATGTCATCTTTATCTGAAAGCAACCCCTGAGGGATAGTGGTTTCTGGTTGTGGAGTTGTAGGCTGCTCCGTGTTGTCCTTCTCCAAGGATAAGTGCCAGAAAGGCACATTCCTGGCAGTCTTATCAGTAGGTGAGGATGCAGCTCTATCGCCCAGGCCATACCCTTCACTGGATTGTTTAAGGCTTCTTCCTTTGAATTCACACTCACTCAATCCTGAAATACTTGCTCCTTTTTTTCTCCGTCTTCTTCCAGATGCTGCTGGCAGTGGATGGCCCTGACTCCCAGTAGCATCAGAGTTTGGAGCCTGGTCTGTTGTCTTCTTGTCATATATCTCAGTTTTGTTGCTCTGTTCCTTGCTTGAGGAACCTGCAGCAAATAGAAATAAGAAAAAGAGAAATAGTGTGACTTTGACTTCCTAAAATAAGAACACTGTGCCCTGGCCCAATGGTACCTATTTGCTAATGAATTCTCTAGTATGAGGAAGCAGGTATTTGGAAGACAGGAGGCAACTTGGTCACTATTAAGTTTCTGCAGTTGGACGTTTTTAAGCCAAAGGGGAATCCTAGTTCTAGGAACTGAGTGCAGGGTTGGCTTGTCACATTTTTACCAATAGTTTGGTCCACCATTTGGTGTGAGACACATCAGAAGGCAAATTCTGAACCTGTAACAATGATTGCCTTTGGGGAAACTGACAGGAAAGAGGAATGGAATTTTTTACTTTCTAACTAGCATTTCTATTTTCTACATAATATTTATCTGAACTACTTGAAATTTCATATCATGTGCATGTATTGCTGTTTTTTTTTTAGAAAGATGTCAATAGGAATTATCTGGGAGGTAAGATTATGGCCCTCTTCTTTTTTTCTACTCTCTCATATTAAAATGATCCTAGTTGTTTTTATTTCCAAGATGCAGATTGGAGGCATTGTTGGCATGTCTCTCCCACTTGGAAAGACAAAATAATATGTAGAGATTCATGTTGTGAGCTTTTTCCAAGAACCAAGACAGGAACCTAACAGAAAGACTTAAAGAAACCACAGACACCCCCCCCCCCAAAAAAAAAAAAAAAAAAAAAAAAAGAAACCACAGACCCTTTGAAAGAAGTGTCGGGCAGCAGGCTACACTGTGAACCAGATGAAAACTCCCCATAGGAGACAGTGAACCTGCGCACAGACCCAGCATATTACTACTACAAGCAGCATCTGAGAAAGCCATCACACAAAGATACTCTACAATCAAGGAACTCATACAGAGTGTTCAAAACTGAAAGCACCCAGAGCTGAAACCAGGTGACAATAAACTATAATAATCCATTAAAAAGTGGGCAAAGGACATGAATAAACAATTCTCAAAGATATTCAAATGGACCACAAACATATGAAAAAATCAATATCACTAATCATGAGGAAAACGCAAATTGAAACACAATATGATATCACCTTACCCCAGCCAGAATGGCCATTATTAAAAAGTCAAAAAACAATAGATGTTGGGATGGATGTGATAAAAAGGGAATACTTATACACTGCTGGTGGGAATGCAAATTAGTACAACCTCTGTGGAAAACAGTATGGAGATTCCCCAAAGAACTAAAAATAGATCTATGACTCAATCCAGTAATCCCACTACTGGGTATCTACCCAAAGGAAAAGAAGTCATTATATCCAAAAAGACACCTGCACACGTATGTTTATAAGATATGGAATCAACCTAAGTGCCCATCAACCTATGAGTAGATAAATAAAATGTGATATATATGCATATATATACACACACACACACACACATATACACACACACATATATATATATACCATGAAATAGTACTCAGGCATAAAAAAGAATGAAATAATGTTTTTGCAGCAACTTGGATGAAACTGGAGGCCAATATTCTAAGTGAAGTAACCCAGGAATCGAAAACCAAATACCACATGTTCTTTCTTATAAATGGGAGCTAAGCTATGAGTACACAAAGGCATACATGAGTGGTATAATGGACATTGGGGACTCGGACAGGGAGGAGGGTGTGAGAGGGGTGAGAGATGAAAAACTACATACTGGGTACAACGTACATTACTAGGGTGACAGGTGCACTAAAATCCTAGACTTCACTACTATACAATTCATTCATGTAACCAAAATCCACTTGTACCCTGAAAGCTGTTGAAAGAAAAATTTTAAAAAAACCAATTGTATGTAATATACATGCAAAGAAATTCTCGGAATGCCTTAGCAATTGCATTGGTCCACTGGCTTCAGGTCAAGCACAAGGTCATAGTTGTACAGGTTGCTCCCCTCCTTTCTTGTAGTACTTTTCTAAGAAACTCAATTTGATCTTCAGGTGGACCCCTGCTGCCTTTCTTTACTCACTATCTGCTGCATCCCTAGCTCTATCTAGTGATTTCATAGCCAGCATACAGCGCTGAGAATAACTGATTGTGCTCCAAACCACTTCCATGATATGGAAAATCAAGTAAAGTGTCTGCCCCCATGGACACTGGCTCAGTTCTATCCTCTGTGTGCAAAAGAGACAACTATTAAAACATAAATCTCAAAAAGATAAAAGAGTACTAATTTAATCTTTCTTTTTCTTTTTTCTTTCTTTCTTTTTTTTTTTTTTTTTTTTCTGGAGAGTTTTGTGGTTTTCTTAGTTTTCATGGGAAAATGTGCTTAGGAATATCCTGTCTTTGAACCCACATGTGAAATCCTTTGTGGCAAAAGCGTGACATAACTTTCAACTTAAGTTGAGGAACTGGAATTTTTATCAAATATTGCTTGAAATTAGCTTGCCATCAGTTGGAGCCAACATCGACATATGTACACACAGAAACAGAGAGCTTTTCACTCTGGTGGTATTTGTTGTTTGGGAATTTGATAGGTGTTGGCTGCCAAGGACATCTGTCTGCAGCTGCCAAACCCTCTTTGTCCATGGATGTGGGCAATAGTCTCATTATTAACAAGGACATTTTCGCTCTACAGGAAGAGAAAGACAACTTTAAAAAATGATTTTTTTGGCCAGTTCTGTTATTCCTTTCTGGTTCTGTTGCAGAGGGGGAATGCTGAAGGAGAAATCACTGGCTGTCCTCTCACATCTGGGCTCACTGAGGAACTCAGCATGTACATTACCCTCAGAGAAGATGAAATAAATTTATAAACAAAGCACCTCTCTTGTTGGAAATTCATTTAGATAAAATAAGAATCCAGGTATGATCCTTTACCTGAACCCCACACAAGTGGCAATTATATTACTTTGGCAGTTTAGATGGAGAAGTCTGGACCACATTATCTGCATCTTAAATTGAAAGGACCAAGGACAGCAGTCTTGGGTAATTCTTGGGTATAGCTCCTATCAACATAGCACTGTGTGATGAAGTCTGTCATACATGTTTCTGGGTGAGGGTAAAAATATGCTAACCTGCACTGTCCGTACCCAGCTTCTTTTGGTTGGTTTCTTTTGGTTTGGTTATACTCTTTTCTTCTCCAGAAACCAATGGAAGGTTTGGCTCCTCCTGGTTTGGTTTTACCTGAAACAAGAAAAGAATGAGCTTGAATCCTACTGAAGTGCTTTCCAACAACTCCTGCACAGTTGTAAAAAAAAAAAAAAAAAAATCAGGAAAAAAGTTCTTGATGCTGGGCATGTAACAATACCTTAAAAGATGGAAGTTATTTCAATGGAGATATTTCCAGGGATTTCTTAATGGAATTCTTTCCACCAAGAGATCCCTGGGGATCATTTTACCTATTGGAAGTGGTTCCCAGGTTTGGAGTTTCCAATCTCTGAATGACACACTACAGGGATCTCTCTAAAATACGCTGGAAACTACTGAACCACACTGGAAGGCCACGAATCTGAAAATGGGGTCGTTGGGGCTGACAATGATCATGCCCTTGGCCATAATGGGATTCTCAGATTTGCTTCATCAGACCTGTGAGCCAAATTCAAATCCTGTTTGGCTTCTTTTCAGGGAATTTAATGAAAGCATGAATTATCTCTTTCCAGATCAAACAAAGAAAGAGAATTGGGGTTTTGTTGATAGGAAAAGGAGAAAAAGCTGAAGGGTTCAGCCCTTACATTGGATGGGGTGAAGTTGGTTTAGTATAAATAAGGTTTTCTGATAATTAGAATACAGCTCTGGAAATGTCAGCATAGCACTGCACTGAACAGTGTATGGAATTTGCTTAGTGTAAGCCTTTATGGGATGCATGTAAAGACAAACATACAACTCTTTACACTCCCACTCAAAGTGCCTGTGCAAACAGACACAGCTCATAATAATTTATTTTTGAGCCAATGTGGTCAGATTGGCCTGGATTCAGGATCTCTTCATCGTTTACTTGCTGCGTGACCTTGGGCAAGTTATTCTCTGAATCACTGTGTCTACATCAATAAATAAGAGGCTAGGAAAAACCTCCTGTGGGACTTGCAGATCTAATAAATCCCAGAGCAGGGAGAAAGTGGTAGTAGTCCCTGTGTCGTAAATGATCTCAGAGCTTTTCATATTTATCCACATGTCAGGGAAAGAGTCACAGGGAAGAAGTGGATGTCCTGGCCTTCTCAGAGGGTGATGCCCAGGCCTTTTCTCAACTAGGCTATACAGAAAGAAGAAACTTACAAGGATCACACTGTTTCCCTCAGCCAAACTTCCCCATCTCCCAGGTCTGTGGTGAGGTATTCAGGGGATAATGCATGCATGGGGTTTGGCACCTAGTAATTGGTCATCCCTTATTTGACACCAAACTAAGAAGATATTCTCAAGGCCACCAGAGGGCTTCCCTCTGCCCCCCTGCTCCTCCACCTGTTCTTTCAACTCATATTTTGTGTACTACCTAAAGTGAAATTGAGATGCCTAAGCTAGAGGCAAGATGGTGGGATGAAAAAAGTGCTTAGCTAGAAGTCAGAAGACTGGATTCTGGCCCTAGCTCTCCCACCACCTGGGTGTTTGACTTTGGGTAAGTATCTGAAATTATTTGTGCTTTAATGTCCTTCCCTGTAAAATGTTTATACTATACAATCTGTTAGTCTCTTTACCTCTGATTTACAGTCTCTTACTTTCAGACCAGAATCACTGGTGAATTCAGTTTTTGATAAAAGTGAATTTTGTAGCCAACTGACACATCCCTTTAAACACTGACATTTTTTAATCCTTAACTTTTTTTTGTTTTTGAGACGGAGTTTTGCTCGTTGCCCACACTATAGTGCAATGGTGCAATCTCAGCTCACCGCAACCTCCACCTCCCAGGTTCAAGCGATTCTCCTGCCTCAGCCTCCCAAGTAACTGGAATTACAGGCATGCACCATCACTCCTGGCTAATTTTGTATTTTTAGTACAGACAGGGTTTCTCCATGTTGGTCAGGCCAGTCTCGAACTCCCCACTTCACATGATCAGCCCACCTCGGCCTCCCAAAGTGCTGGGATTGCAGGCATGAGCCATCATGCCCAACCCTAATTCTTAACCTTTACTGAAAGCCTTTTCTAAAAGCATTATTTCTCTATCTTTTTAATTAAACAGGGATCACAAAACATAATCTACTTTTTCTAGATGACTTGGACAAATAATGAAATGATCTATTACACTGGACTGTGATATAGCGTGGCCCTGAAGGACCTATTGAAGTGGGCAAGGTTCTTGAGCCCCTATATTAAATGGCCCCAGATTGTTTCTGTCATTCTCTCTGCTATCAGCTGTCGCTCTCTTTGCTGTCAGATCTGCGTCTAATCTGTGGCCATGTTTTTTACACAGTAGGTCTGCTTCCTAGAAAGTCATGTGACATCTATTTGGAGATCTTTGGAGGGGTTAACAACTAAGTTCTGGATGTTTAGAGTTGCTGAAAGATTGACCTCCAAATAAGTGGAATGGTGCTGCAATTTGTAACTCATGGATCTCATCTGATTAATAACTGAAAGAATCCTGATCTGGGGTAGCATTGAATATTCTCTACAAATAGAGCTGAGTGAACTTTCACATGCTAAGCCAATAAGCAGTTTATGGGGGTTTAAATCATTCACTGTTTGTGCTTCCTTTTAGTCCCTTCTCTAATATAAAGTTCCACATGGATAAGAAACACACCCAATAGATGCAAGCTTGCTCACCCCTCTGGGGTTGTCAAGCTTAGGGCAGTGCCCTTGACCTTGCCAATCTTACTTAGGGCATGGGTCTCCTACACCACACTATTTCCCTAGTAGTAGTTTGCAAAGATTGGAACTTATCTTTTCTTATACAGGAGTTTAGTCCCCTGTCTCTTGAATGACTTACAATCGCTTGAAGGTTCTCCTTCTTTTGTTTGCGGGGATTTAAAGCCATCTTGTGGCGAGCAGCTGAAGAATCCAAACAGCCCTCGGTGGTGGCTGGGGTGCTGAAACCAACGGGCAGCGGGGTGCTGCTGTCAGAGGCAAGTGTGGCAAATGCAGTCAAGGACTGTGAGCAGTCAGGTCCAGGTAATAGCTCAGAGAAACTCTGGAGAAGGTGAGAGAAAATAGACGAGTCAACCATATGCTGTTACTGGTCTCAAAAGTTGGAAATTCTTCTGACTGAAGAATTCCTAAAGAAGAAATACTTCATGAACTATTGTCCCCTTTTCCTACATTTCCAGTCAATAGGCTTATTCATTATTAGTAAGCTCCATAATTTTACTGGTTTCCTTGCAGATAAAAACAGGAAACAGGAAGAAGTTTGGGTTACTCCCCTGCTTAGAAAGCTTTCAGGGGCACCCCACTGTCCTCGAGATAAGAACACAACCACTTAATTGAGTTTGCAAGATCAGAGGGATTGCATATTCTCTTGTCCTAGATCCCCTTCTTATCAACAGGACATCTGGCTGGGGTGAGAGGCACAATTGGTATCAGTGAAACCCAGCAGAGCTCTGGGATTTCTACATTGGAGGATTGGGTGGAGGGAGAAAAATCAGGTTGGAAGAGGGCCTGTCTGCAAGCTGCATTTTCATAGAGAGCACACTACCTTTTATGTGTATTGACAGTTCATGGGTGCAAGACTGATGGGAGGACCCTCAGGAATTGAATGCTCCAACCTCCAGTGGGATAGATATGGAGCCCGTAAACCTGTCCTCATTATGGCTGCCCTCCATATCGCCATACTATTTGGTTCTGGGACACTTAGTTGAATTCCTCTGTAGGACCTTCAAAACGGTCTCCTATGGGCTTCTGGATAGTATTTTCCATACCTCAAAGAGCCTCCCCAGAGCTCTTTCCATTTCTAAGAAGATTCCGATTCCTGTTAGCAGAAGACCCTTTGAAGATCAGCTAATAAACTGTCTCTGCTAGATACTAGTAGCAATTTATATAATGTAGCAAGTAGATAGAATTTCCATTTGTGTTTAACCACTACGTTCTCTTCAGACTAGTTTTGCACACTGCCAGGGATCCCATTGGTACTTGGAGCTTTCACATGTCTTCACGATTCCCACCACTGTTGTATGTTGATGCAGTGATAACTTTAGCTACTATCTTGGTTATGAAGAAGGCACTGTAATTCCAGCGCCTGGGGACTTAACACAGAGCTAATGGGTCAGGCAGACGACAAATCCTGCAGACCATTCTGCTTGGGATTCAGGGAGAAGACAGAGAAATAGTACAGTTGCCTTTTATAGGATCAATCAAAATTAAGATTAATCCAAAGATTTCTTTAACTTCTTTATGCAATTTTCATCCATGAATTTATATACTGCCTCTTCCTGATATTGTCTAGTTAGATTATGTTATCTACTGGAAAAATAAATTTAATATCAGTGTATAGAGTAAAAGCTCTTCTTTTATTGTTCTGAATGTCTTCCCTACTTCAGAGTAGTGTCAGAGTTCTGGTCTTTTAAGGCTGGAGGATAACATCTATGCTCCCGACAACCTCACATGATCTGTCTTCCTTTTGTCCCTGACCAAATTACCAGCCATTTCCTGCTGCAGACACACTGCTGGTCTGCTGTTCTTCAAGCACTTCAGGCATGTTCTGCCCTCAGGGCCATTGTGCCTGCTGTTCCCTCTGCTGGGCATGCTCTTTCCCCATGTTTGTGTGGCTAGCTCCCCTACTTCTTTCAGGTTTTGATTCAAAAGCCACCTTTTCACGGCCGGGTGTGGTGGCTCACACTTGTAATCTCAGCACTTTGGGAGGCTGAGGTACACAGAGCACCTGAGATCAGGAGTTTGAGACCAGCCTGGCCAGCATGGCGAAATTCTCTCTACAAAAAATATAAAAATTAGCCAGGTTTGGTGGCGGACACCCGTAATCCCAGCTACTCAGGAGGCTGAGACAGGAGAATCACTTGAACCTGGGAAGCAGAGGTCGCGGTGAGCCGAGATTGCCCCACTGCACTCCAGTCTGGGCAACAGAGCAAGAAACTGGAGTCTTGGCAAATATATTGGAACATTGACACTCTGCAGCTGGGAGGGCTCAGCTTCCAGAGGTCTTAGCTAACCTCTACCTTTTCAGTTATGTCTTCCATGGCCAATCTGTTTAAAATGTCTTAGCCACTTCATATTCCCTTCCCTGCATTGTTTTTCTCCTTGTCACTTTTCTCAGTGTCTGACATATTATGCTTTCCTTATTTAGCTTGCTTATTGTCCATGCCCCCCATTACAATATAAACTTTATGAAGAAGATTTGTATCTGTTCTATGTATTACTGTATTGGGGACACAGTATCTCCAACTGTGCTTAGTACATAGTTGCTCAAAACATGTTTTTTTAAACTGGGGACTTGATTATGTTAAAGGCTTCCACCAGAAGTTGCCTTTTTGAGATGTCATCAGAGCAAGCTCCTCTGTTGCTTGTATCACTTTAGTTATTCTTTTTGAGGCCTCACTAGCTCCAGTCAAAGGTAGAAAGAGAAAGACAAGGAGATCTATGAATCAGAAAACCCTAAAAAAGCACCCTACAACTTGCTTTGCATGAAAGCCAACTTACAATGCCCACATGGCAAGTAGATACACATTTAATAAATATAAAAAATTTTCAATTCAGTTGGCATCCCAAACCTTGTGGTAGAAACACTACAGATAAAGCATTGTTTACTTTAGTGAAACTAATTATATAGCGTAACAGAAAAACCAGGCTCAGCAAAAATCTGGCAATTTCTAGATTGGACATGTGCAGGACAGTTTATCTGTTCCCAATCACAGCCTAAGCCAAGAGTCCATCAAACTTAATAGCAACCACTGATCTCCCTGTGTTAGCTTGACTCTCACTAAGGAATCTGTATCTGTAGACATCAGTCTAAACACAGACCCACATCCATTCTCAAACTGGTGTTCAAAATTAAAGAGCAAAGCCATCAAGCATTCTCCTCATCTGACTATGGAGCTCAAGCTCAGACATGTGATTTAAAACAGTCCGAAGAGGATCTCTATTGTTAGGTTTAGAGTATGTTACGTGGGTGTAGATTATGTATATGTGTTATGAGTTCTCTTAACTCACCAGTGAATTAAATGAATTATTTATACACTTTCTGGAAGTCTATGCAGTATTCCTCAATGTATGGTCTGAATCCCCCAGTACCAAAATCACCTGGAATGAGTGTTGGAAAAGCACATTTTGGGGACATATCAAGACCTAATGAGTAAGAATATCAGAGGAAAGGCTTTAGAATAGCCTTAACAGGGTTTCCAAATGAGTCTTTCAGGAGCCAAAATTGAAAACCACTGCCTAGTCCTATAGCATGAAGAGAAAGGCTCCTATTTTCTAATATGACTACAGCAAGTCCGGAAATAATCCCAGCAGTTGCCTTAGAACAGGAGTCAGAAATATCTTTTGGGAAGTGTGGTTCCTTCTTAGGCCTTCTTAGGTCCTCGTTCCCTCAGCCCTAGTGGTTAACAGCAACCTAGAAAAGTTACCACAGGAGCCAACCACAGGATTTTATGAGTTACCCAGGAAAAGCAAATAGAATCCCTTCCTGGCAGAATTCTGAAAGAAAAATGAATGGAGAAAGTGGAACACCGTTCTTTACTTTTCCTTCCTTACTCCCCTCCAACGCTATTCCTCCTTTCATGCACTCTGACAGCCAACATACCAACATACCCTGTCTGAACCCAATATGCATATTATTTTTTCGTTTGTATAAATTTAAGGGGTATAAGTGTAGTTGGTTACACGGATATATTGCATAGAAGTGAAGTCTGAGCTTTTACTGTAACCATCACCCAAATAATATACATTGTACTCACGAAGTAATTTGACATCCCTCACCCTTCTCCCTCCTTCCCACCCTTTCAAATCTCTAATGCTTACTTTCCACACTCTATGTCCACTGTGTACACATTATTTAGCTCCCACTTTTAAGGGAGAACATGTGGCCAATTATGCATATTATTAAGTAAGGCTGAGATGTTTCCATTTCTTCTCCTGTGTTTTAGAGGAAGTTTAGCACAGACATCTTTAGATTAATATCTGGAATTAATGGGCTCCTCGTTCCTCAACATCTGGAAGATGTGCCTGGCTAGGTACCTATTAATCCAGAATCTTCTTAGAGAAGGAAACTGGGTTGGACCTTGGGCCAGGGAAAAGGATTCTTCAGCACTGGTTGGTAGGGAGCTGGATACTCTTTTGCTGTTAGGTGGGATAAGGGCAGCTCTTTGGAAAATAAAAACACATTTTCACTTCTTTTTTCCCTTCTGTCAAGTTTCTAGACCCAGCGCAAAGCAGTTTAGTCAATAAAGCACATTTTGGTAGTACTTTTAATGATTTCTTTTTCTGTTGTATGATGCTAGGGTTTTCTCCTTTTGAGCAGGGATAAAGAGCAGTTTGACTGTCTTCTTGGAACAAATGAAAGCCCTGATTGTAATGGCTTAAATAAGAGGATTACCAGTGGGCTGTTTAGGTCCAGGTTTCATCAAGCATTTGGTCCATAAAGCTGTCACTCCGGGAAAAACATACACTCTGAGACTGACACTGGGATGCTGGGGAGCTGGGTTCTATGTGAGTCAAAAGCAAAAAGCAAGTCGTCTTTGGAATATCTCCACAAGAAGCAACTTTTGGTGGAAAAAGTGGTTCTTGGTGGGAGACTTCTGCACCAAGAGGTACTGGCACAGAGTGAGACCCAATAATGGCTAAGATTTTAATTCCCTGGGTGTGGCAAAGTGGCTTCTGTGCCCATTCCTGAGATTTCCTGCACAGCTGCTGTTTAACTCAAAATCTCTGTTACTTAAAAGCTGTTATGGTCAATATTTTTGCCAACTTGAAAGTTCTTGGAGGTGGAATTTCTGATATTCCCTGCATCCCCCTTCTATCACAATCTCTTCAATTTCTTGAATGAGAGCCTTTCTCTTCATTTCTAGTATAGAGAATAAGAACATGGACTTTGAAACCAAACAGGCCTGAATATGACATCCTAGCTATACCATTTATTGGCTGTCTGACCTTGAGCAAGTTCCCTAACCCTTTTGAGCCTCAGCTTTCATGTCTGTAAAATGGGAATAATCATAATACATACTTTGGTTCATTGCTGTAAAGATTAAATAAAATGATACATGGAAAGTGCTTAACACAGTGCCTGTTACATAAGAAAGTCTTGATAAATGTTAGCTGCTGTTGCTATTGCTGAGCATTGGTTATACAAAGTTAGAGGACTGCTAGAAGCCACACAGTTCAGTGAAAGTGCTATAGATTTGATCAGGAGTCCTGGGATTAAGCCCCAGCTCTATCTTGGATTGGCTCTGTGGCTTTTGCCAAGTCACTTCACTGCTCTGAACCTCAACTATTTTCATCTATAATGGGAATCTTTCCTAGCTGCTTTACGGAGTTATTGAGAGAATCAAATGTAACTATATACGGAAAATCACTTTGAAAGTTGTACATTTGTATACAATCATGGGGAGGGAGCATATGTTCTCCTTTGATGTATGAGAAGATTTTAAAATTAAAATTTTATTTTATTTTAGAGACAGAGTCTCACTACATTGCCCAGGTGGAAGTATGGTGGCTACACACAGGCATGATCATGGTGCACTACAGCCTCGAGTTCCTAACCTCAAGTGATCCTCCTGCCTCAGCCCCCAAGTAGCTGGGACTACAGGCTTATGCAGCAGAGGATTGCTTTAAAAAAATTGTTCTGGGCTTTTGAGACTTATTTGTATTCCATGCTGGGGAATTATGGAGTAGCCACCCAGCTAAAGCATGAGATATTATAAAAAGAGGCAAACTTGCAGCACTCTAACTTTTTGTTAGCCAATTCAATGGAATAACTTAACCCCCAATATGTTAAATACCAGCATTTATCCTGCAATGTGACTGAGGCCAGGGAATTTAATCAGCTCAAACTTTAAGCTTTAAGAATTTTACCCTGACAATGTATATTGATAGCTTATCTTCACAGATGTGGGACAAAGGACAAAACTCAAACCCATCCCTCTGCTCACCTGAGACAAATGCATATTTGATTGCTTCCACTGATGTAAAAATGCAGATTCACTGAGGAAGATGAAGGCATAAGTGACTATTCCTCTATCCCCTCTCACATGTAAATTGTGTATTGAGTGAAAGGCTGATCAAAAACTCAAAAAAATGCAACCATTTGTCTCTTATCTTCCCACACCTTTTAAAAATGTGTTCCTCTTTCCCCAGTATCCACCTTTTCCCCTTTAAATATTGAAGCCCTCAAAATCATCTTTGGAGAAAGGCACAGACCTGTCTCCCAGGTGCGCATCCTTAACCTTGGCAAAATAAAATTTCCAAATTGATTCTGACCTGTCTCAGATACTTTTCTGGTTTACAAACTCAGCAAAAAAAAGACAAGTAACTCAATTAATAAATGGATAAAGGAGAAATAGATATTTCTCCAAAGAAGATACACAAATGGCTAATAAACACATGAAAAGATTTTTAACATCATTATTTACTAGAGAAATGCAAATCAAAACCACAATGAGATACTACTTCACACCCACAAACATGACTATAATTTTTTTTTTTTTTTTTTTTTTGAGATGGAGTCTTGCTCTGCTGCCAGGCTGGAGCACAGTGGCGCAATCTCGGCTCACTGCAACCTCCACCTCCTGGGTTCAAGTGATTCTTCCACCTTAGCCTCCTGAGTAGCTGGGACTACAGGCACATGCTACCACACCCAGCTAATTTTTTTGTATTTTTAGTAGAGACAGGGTTTCACCACGTTGGCCAGGATGGTCTCGATCTATTGACCTCAGGATGTGCCCACCTCAGCCTCCCAAAATGCTGGGATTACAGGCGTGAGCCACCATGCCCGGTCGACTATAATTTTTTAAAAAACGAACCTAACAAGTGTTGGCCAGGATGTGGAGAGATTGGAACTCTCATAAATTGCTAGTGGGAATGTAATGTAAGGTGGTGTAGCTGTCAGGGAAAACAGTTTGGTAGTTCCTCAAAAAGTTAAACATAGAATTACCATATGACTCAGCAATTCCACTCCTAGGTATATACCCAAAAGAATTGAAAACAGGTGTTCAAACAAAAATTTGTATGCGAATGTTCGTAATAGCACCATTCACAATAACCAAAAGGTAGATAGTACAAGTGTCCATCAATGGATGAATAGCTAAACAAAATGTGGTACATTAATATAGTGAAGTATTATTCAGCCATAAATTGAAATGAAGTACTGATAAATGTCACAACATGGATGACCCTCAAACACATTATGCTAAGTGAAAGAAGCCAGCACAAAGGCCACATATTGTATGATTCCATTTATATGAAATATCCAGGGTAGGCAATTACAGAGATAGAAAGCAGAATAGTTGTTGTCAGGGGCTGATGGGAGATACAAATGGTGAATGACTGCTTAATAGGAACTGGGCTTCCATTTGGGATAACCAAACAGGTTCTAATCCTTGATAGTGGTGATGATTGCATAACATTGTGAATGTATGTACTGTCACTGAATTGTATACTTTAAGATGGCTAACATGGTAAATTTTACATGATCTGTATTTTAGTACAATAAAAAATGCTATCTAATTCAATCCTTCCACTAATTCAGACTATACATCCCAATTCATCTGATTTAGTGGCATTCTGCAGAAAATACTTGTAGTCACAGCCCAGATTCATAAAACAATAAGCATCCACCCCCCTACTACCAGTCTGTGCTTTAACTTTGGTTTTAACCTAACTTGTTTCTTTGTTGACATATCTAACTGAGGGCTGCTTCACTTCATAGGATCTTTTAACAACAAAATGGAGTTTTGTTCTGACTGGCCAATTCTCTTCATTATAAATTAGGTTTCTGTTTACTTTTTATTTCCAAAGGTTAATCATTCTAAACTCTGCTTCACACTAAGAGCCCTTTCAAGTTCACCAACAACCAATTCAATTAAATACACATTAGTTTAGGAATGGAGGTGTTTATATGGGCACATGCTACTAATTTGCTGATTGATATTATCTGGTTGACAAACTTAGACATATGAAATAGACACATTGCCCTCTCATGTGTCAACTGATTCTTCACATGAATATGTATCTATCAAATAATATTATATGCCCTAACCACTGATATTTTTTGGATTTCAAAGTGTAGAGACTAAGCTTCAGTAAAAACTTCTATTTTTATCTTCATGAAATACTCAAAACATCTGCAAACTATTACTGCTTCCAAAATACTATCTTCCATTGCTTATACATTAAAATTATGATTATTTGGTTTGTAGAATTGGATGGAAAACCACCAAGCAAATCAAAAGCCAATAATGTCAGCTCCTTCCCCAATCATCCCCCTAGTGGTGAGCTCCAGCAGGAGAATAGAGAACACAAGAAGAAATTATGCCTCTGATCTGTGAGCCCGCCCAACCTGCCCCTTAATATACTCACCTGAGTCGCTGTCAAAATCTCATGTGGTAAAGCCTTCTTTTGTGGATTCTTAGGTGACTCATCATCGACAGAAATTTCTACCAAGTCCTTAGAAGTTGAGTCAGTTCGGATAACAGGTGGGATGATGCTGAGTCGGCGTCGGCGCGATGGTGGGTTCTGTCAAGAGGGAGAATAGAAGGAACAAGTTAAAATCTGTGCATTTTCTCCCAAATTAGTGGTTTTCTCTTATTGTTTAATAAGAGAAAGAAGGCCGGGGTGGTGGTGCACACCTGTAATCCCATCACTTTGGGAGGCTGAGGCGGGCAGATCATGATGTCAAGTGATCGAGACCATCCTGGCCAACATGATGAAACCCTGTTTCTACTCAAAATACAAAAATTAGCTGGGTGTGTTGGTGCGTGTCTCTAGTGCCAGCTACTTGGGAGGCTGAGGTAGGAGAATCGCTTGAATCCAGGAGGTGGAGGTTGCAGTGAGCTGAGATCGCACCACTGCACTCCAGTCTGGTGACAGAGCGAGACTCCATCTCAAAATAAAATAAAATAAGAGAAAGGAATCAAAAGTTTGTTGAAGACTAAGAATCCAAAGTAAAAAAAATAAATAAATAAACCCAGGGAAGAATTTTCTACCTCCCTGTCTTCATTTCTTGTACCTACTCAAAACAAAGACTAGTAGCTTTGATTTCCCCTCTGGGGTGCTGCACACTTTTGCCAATCCCCAAACAAAGACAGAAACTTCAAATTGCTTGTTCATGCAAAATCAGAATCCTGATGTTATCTCCTTACTGGTGTTAAATACAAATATTATTTAATTCTGATCTTTGTTTTAATTTTGGTCATGTCTTTGGAAGTCCAGTTCTCGTAGAGGTGAGTCTTTTAGTTATGACCTGGATTGGAATTGGCATCCAAACTACACTCTTCGCTCATAGTATTGCAGGAATTATCTGGATTGAATCTTGACTGGGTTAGTTGCTTATCTTAATCCTGTCAAGATTGATTTTCTGGGATTTTTAAAGAAAATCTACAGAACTAGTCCTAGTTTCCCGAAGGGGAAAAAATTGACCATTTGGACTTTCCTTGCGATTCAGCAGACAATTTAGTTGTTTCCATTTTGAAGAAAATGGTACACTTGACTTGGAGGCACTGGTCCCTGCCATGGTCCTCTTGATGTGGATCAGAATCCCTGCTTTTTATCTTTAACAAATACTGGCTAAGCATCTACAATGCATTATACCCCATTCCAGGAACTGGGCCTGCAACAATAAACAAATTCTTGCTGTCATGAAGCTGACATGCTTGCTTCTGTTGTAGACTCTCCTCAGCTCAAAGCAGATAGCTTTCAGACACTGTAGCCAAAGAAGGCGCCACAATGGAAGCTTGCTGGGGTTATGTTCCTGGGGTGCTCCTGGCCAGGTTCTCCAGGGCTTCCTTATTACTACTAGGCCCCATTGGGAGCTCTTGGGAAGAGGCCAGATCAACCAGCCCCAAGCCCAGCTTTAATAATAATAACTACAATAATGGCAACTAACTTTTACTAAGGGCTTACAATGTGCTAAGCAGGGAGTGCTCTCCATAGATACGTCTCATTGAAGATTCACAACAATTCTTTGAAGCATTTACTATTGTGGGCTCTGTTTTACAGATGGGAAAAACAAAGTTTGAGAGATGATGTAACCTGCCATGATTCTCCCAGTGGCAGAGAAAGCATTTGAAAGTTCTGTCCAGTTTGATTGTCCTTGTTCTTGATCACTATGAACTCCTGTCTCCTAATTAAAAGGGCCAGAAAAGGGAAAGCCCATACTAAAGGCCAAGTTCAAGAAGTTTAGAGTCAACAACCAGAGCAGATGGTGTGCCTGCTTCCTTAAGAAGGGCTGAGGGACAGTCAAGCCCGTAAGCAATAAGAAAAACTGTTTTGAAGTCTCCGTTGCTTAAATGAATAAATTCAATTTGATTCAACAACAGCAAGATGCTAATAATCTGCTGTTGTATCTTCTTAACTATTTGTGCTCAAAAAAGGGAACAGAGAATGTCTTGGAGAGTAATGTAGACATCTACATTCTTAACACTTCAGATAGGACATTAGGTGAAAATCTGGCAGGAAATAAAATGGTCTCAGTGTCAGTATTTCTGACATAACTGTATACCTGTATTTCTTCTTTCACAATCTCCTAGTTGTTCTGAATGTCACTTCATCCATTAGGATCCTGCCCCTTCAAAGGAATTGACCCCACTGGCCAATTCCATACTTGCACCAGCTTCTATGTAGCACTGGGTGTCAAGACTCTTGACTTAATGCTGTCAACCACCCTTCCGTTTGGGGTTGTCATTTTGGTACTTAAGGGAAGTTTCCCATGCAAAGGTCAGGCTGGTTGTTGATGACTTAGGTCTTATTGATACCTTGCTGTCTTCAGCCCTGTTTTCCAGGGTATGAACTAAGGGGTCTGGTCAAAAGTATGAGGTGTAGGCCCAAGCCAAACATTTAAGAAAACTTGCCTTTAGGCTATTGTGGCCTTTCCCAGCCACTTCCTTGTGAGAAGCAATGTCCCTAGAATGTTTTCCTTTAGTTTTCACAAAAATTAATTTTTTAAAAAAATGGGACTGGGCGCAGTGGCTCAGACCTGTAATCCCAGCACGTTGGGAGGCCGAGGCAGGTGGATCACCTGAGGTTGGGAGTTCGAGGCCAGTCTGACCAACATGGAGAAACTCTGTCTCTACTAAAAATACAAAATTAGCCAGGTGTGGTGGTGCATGCTTGTAATCCCAGCTACTCAAGAAGCTGAGGCAGGAGAATCACTTGAACCTAGGAGGCGGAAGTTGTGGTGAGCCAAGATCATGCCATTTCACTCCAGCCTGGGCAACAAGAGCAAGACTCCATCTCAAAAAAAAGAAAAGGAATATCTCTGCTACATGAGTCTCTCTGTTGCTGGGACTAAGAGGAGGGGAGAGAAGGAGGAGTCTAAGAAACCAGTTTCCTCTTTCTGAATGTGAGAACCCTGTGGCACTTGGTCGTGGTTGTGAGGCCGCAGGAAGTGTAACTATGGAGGTGAGTGAAAGCTAGTGTTGATATTTAAAACTGAAGATTGAATAGTTCATGGAAATGACTTTTCCTGCTGTAGTACAAGACAGCAACAGTCTTCTGACTCTAGGGGTTGCTTAACAACCTTAGGGTCAACACAATTAGTGTCTATCTCAGTGTTTTCTCCTCTACCCTTCATAGCTAATGGATCCAGAAGAAAGGAAGCCAGAGTGAGAGATGTGGGGTCTTAGCAGACATGTCAGAAATAAGCCCCACTTACTTTTCGCCAAATGGAAAATAATCATCTCTCCAGTGGAGAAGGGTGTCCTCCTTGTGTGGTCTTCCCACTTACACAGGGACCTTTGGACATAATCCCACCCACAGGCTGAGAGGGGGAAAGCAGCTGTTAAGGGTTGTCTCCTTGACAATATCTCCAGCTCCCCCTGGAGCATTTATAAATCAGAGCTATGGATCCCTACCATAAGTTTAGGATTAGCTGGAGGCAAGAAGCCACATAAATGCTACATTTAATAGGGGCTAAGGTGTACCCTTCTTTCTGTCCAGACAGGTATAAAGAACTCGAGCATCTTGGGATAATGGAAGGATCAAGGGTTTTGAGGCTAATATACCTCGGTCAGAGTTCCAAGTCTACAATTTACTGCCTGGGTAAGCTTGAGCAATGTCTTTAACTTCTCTGAGTCTTCATTCAATCCTCACAAACAACCTTTTCAGGCAGATGTTAATATTATATCCACTGTAGATAAGGAAAAGAAGGCTCAAGCCGGGCGTCGTGGCTCACAACTGTAATCCCAGCACTTTGGGAGGCTGAGGTGGGTGGATCACAAGATCAGGAGATCGAGACTGTCCTGGCCAACATGGTGAAACCCTGTCTGTACTAAAAATACAAAAATTAGCCGAGTGTGGTGGTGCACACCTGTAGTCTCAGCTACTCAGGAGGCTGAGGCAGGAGACTCGCTTGAACCCAGGAGGCAGAGGTTGCAGTGAGCCAAGATTGCTCCACTGCACTCCAGCCTGGTGACAGAGCAAGACTCTGTCTCAAAAAAAAAAAAAAAAAAAAAAAAAAGAAGACTCAGAGAAGTTAAGCAACTAGCCCATGGGTCACACAGCCAGTAAGTAGCACAGTAAGAATTCAAGCATAGATCTGTCTTTCTGACTCAGCTGCCCATGCTCTGAACGATTCCAATTCCACTTTGTTACCTCAGTGATCTTGGGGCTCGTAGCCCAGACTGCACTTGTAGGCACAGCTCCTGACATGGCTCCAGACACAGCTCCACGCACATTACTCTTAGGTTTAGGCAGAGTTCTGGAAATACGGGATCTCTGTATAAGAGAGAGAGAAAAACTTGAGGGTTGGTATGCCAGCACACAAACAGTAGAATGTCACTGCCAAAATATTCTTATTGTATGTTAAGAGAAGTAAATATAGGCCAGGGATGGTGGCTCATGCATGTAATCCCAGCACTTTGGGAGGCCAAGATAGGAGGGTTGCTTGAACCCAGGAGTTTGAGACCAGCCTGGGCAACATGGTGAAACCCTGTCTCCACTAAAAGTACCAAAAAATCATCTGGGCGTGGTGATACAGAACTGTAGTCCCAGCTACTCGGGAAGCTGAGGTGTGAGGATCACTTGAGCCTGGGAAGTTGAGACCGCAGTGAGCTATGATCATGCCACTGCACTCTAGCCTAGGTGACAGAGTGAGACCTATCTCAAAAATAAGTAAATAAATAAATAGAAAGAGAGAAGTGAATATGGAAATACTAATCAACACTGTGTGCCAGGTAATAGGCACATTATATATTTATACATCCTCTCATTCAAGGCTTACAACAGCCCTTTGGGGGTAGGATCAGCTGAGAAGCAGAAACAAGTTCCCACTCCTATTAATTTTGGCAGGGTTACAGTAGGGAACAGAAGAGTAGTCCAATTAGACATTGATGCTTGAGTCCACTATTACCTGTCGAGGTCTGCCTCTCTGGGGATCCATAGAAGGACTCATTTTACTTGCTGATCTTTCAGGCTTAGGATCCAAGAAGAAGATGCTATCATGGGATAGGGCTTTGCTCCCCATGCCACTCTTGGCCCTGGACAGAAATGAAAGGTCTTGTAAAATCAACCCAAGGATCATAAGAACTGAAGACAAACGTATTTTCATAATATGGCCTACAATAGATACCTCAGAAGGAAAGCAGGGATGCATATGTATTGACATAGAAAGCTGCTTATGAGATTATAGGTGAAAAAAATAATAATATGATCCCATTTAATATATACACATATATTACACACATATATAGTTCATACTCAAAGGAAAAAATCTAAAAGGATATCCACAAATTGTTAGAGGTGGTTCCCTCTGAGGAATGGTGCACTAGGGACAGGAGGGAAATTTTCATTTTTCTACTTCTTGTCCTTCTGTATAATTTTAATTTTTACATTATAAGCATATATCCTTTTTATGTAACAGTCTTACTGAGATATGGTTTACATACCATACAATTCACCCATTTAAAGTATATAATTAAATAGTAGCAATTCTAGGGAATGGGAGGAAAGGCCATGAGTTTTGCTATTATTACAATGAGAATTATAAAAGATCTTTCACACCCAAATTTCTCTCTAGTGTTTTTTTTTAAGTGTATCAAAGATCTTCCCAGATATGGCAGGCTTTCATTCATCAGATTCTCTCCTCTTTCACTCAGGAGACCTACAATATATCTATCCTATTTTCAAACTCATCTTATGTACCACCTGCCCCTCCCTTCCCCAAGCTTGCTAAATCCAGATGAGAATATCTTCTGATTTGGAATGGTGCCAGGTTGATGACAATTACGTGTTAAGAAAATTTAGAAGACAGAAACAAATGAAAGGCTAAAGACATGAAAGATGACTTTTTGGAGTGTGGTAATGTATTTTACCTTAAAAAAAATTCAACCAAAGACATCATAGGAAGAGCAAACTATAGACCAATACCTCTTATGAATATAGATGCAAAAATCCTCAATAAAAAACTCACAAACTCAATTCAGCAGCATATAAAGAAAATTATATACCATGACAATGTAGGATTTGCAAGGAACGATTGGCTTAACATATGAAAATCAATGAATGTCAAACACTATATTAATAGAATAAAAACAAAAACTATATGACCATTTCAATAGATGCAGAAAAAAGATTTGTAAAAGTCAACACCCCTCCATGATAAATGCACTCAACCTTGATAGAAGATATCTGTGACAAACCACGGCTAATATCATGGTGAAAGGCTGGATGTATTCCCCCTAAGATCGGGAAGAAGACGAGAATGACTGCCCTTATCATTTCTATTCAACAGTGTATGGGAGGTTACAGATAGCAAAATTAGGTAAGAAAATGAATTTAATGGCACCAAGAATGGAAAGGAAGAAGTGAAATTATCTCTATTCACAGATGACATAATTCTGTATATAAAAACTCCTAATGAATCCACTAAAAATGACTAGAACTAATAAATGAATTCATCAAAGTTGAAGGATACAAGAACAATATATAAAAATTGTATTTCTATACACTTGCAATGAACAATCTGAAAATGAAATTATGAAAACCCTTCCATTTACAATAGCAACAAAAGAATAAAAACTTAAAAATAAATTTAACAAAATATGTGCAAAGCTCATACTCTGAACACCATAAGACACTGATGAGAAAAGTGCCAAAGGCCTGAATAAATGAAAGAAAATCTCATGTTCATTGGAAGACTTGAACTTGTCAAGATGTCAATACTTCACAAAATGATCTACAGATTCAATGCAATCCCTATTGAAATTCCAGCTGGCTTTTTTTCCATAAAATTGTTTTTAAAATTCATAGTTAAATGCAAGGGACCACAAATAGCCAAAATAATCTTGAACAAGAAGTACAAAGTTGGATAACTTATACTTCAATTTCAAAACTTACTATAAAACTACAGTAATCAAGAGAGTGTAGCACTAGCATAAAGGTAGACATATAGATCAATGGAATAGAGTTAAGAGTTCAGAAATGAACCTATACATCTATGGTTGATTTTCAGCAAGGGTGCCAAGACTATTCAATGAAAAAAGAATAGTCTCTTCAACAGATGGTGCTGGGGCAACTGGGTAACTACATGCAAAAGAATTAAGTTGGACCTTTATTTCACACCAGATAAAAAATTTAACTCAAAATGCATTAAATGCCTAAATATGAGAGCTAAAACTGTAAAATTCTTAGAAGAAAACATAGGGGTAAATCTTTGTGATCTTGGATTTGGCAATGGATTTTTAGATATGACACCAAAACCTCAAGGAACAAAAGAAAAAAATATAGATAAATGGTGATATGGTTTGGCTGTGTGTCCCCACCTAAATTTCATGTCAAATTGTAATCCCCACATGTTGAGGGAAGGACTTGGTGGGAGGTGATTGGATCATGGGGGCAGTTTCCCCCATGCTATTCTTGTAATAGTGAGTTCTCATGAGATCTGATAGCTTAAAAGCGTGTGGGAGTTCCCTGCTTGCACTCTCTCTCTACTGCCACCATGTAAGACGTGCCTTGCTTTCCCTTACCCTCTGCCATGATTGAACTGTGAGTCAATTAAACCTCTTTCCTTTATAAAGTACCCAGTCTCAGGTAGTTCTTTATAGCAGTGAGAACAGACTAATACAAATGGATTTCATCAAAATTAAAAATGTTTGTGCATCAAAGGTTACTAGCAAGAAAATGAAAAGATGACCTACATAATGGAAGAATATATTTGCAAATTATATATCTGATAAGAGTCTTGGATCTGAAATATATAAAGAACTCTCTCACTAATAGGAATTCTTATTATTGAATTCTTAAGGAATTCAATAATAAAATGTTAACCCAATTAGAAAATGAAAAAAGGATGTGAATAGACATTTCTCCAAAGAAGAAAGCTATACAAATATCTTTTCCAAAGATATACAAATGGCCAATAAGTACATGAAAACATCCTCAACATCACTAGTTGGCAAGGAAATACAAATCAAAACCATAATGAGATGCCATTTCACACCCATTAAAATGGCTAGAATCAAAAATTCAATTCAGATAATAACAAGCATTGGCAAGGTTGTGGAGGAATTGGAACACCCATACACTGCTGGTGGTGCCTCCATACATTGCTGGTGTTAAAATGGTGCAGCCGCTTTGGAAAACAGTCTAGCAGTGCCTCAAAAGGTTAAATATGTAACAGCCATTTGATCCAACAATTCCACTCGTAGGTATATACCCCAGAGAAATAAAAACATATATCTGGCCAAAGCTTGTACACAAATGTTCACAGCAGTATTATTCACAATAGCCAAAAGGTGGAAAAAACCCTAATATCCATTAACTGATAAATAGATAAAATATGGTATAGTCATGCAATGAACTACTATTCAGTTGCAAGAATGATAAAATTCTGATACATGCTACAACATGAATGAACCTTGAAAACATACTGAGTACAAGAAGCTAGTAAGAAAAGATCACATTCCATTCATGTGAAATGTCCAGAATAGATAAATCCACAGAGACAGAAAGCAGATTAGTGATTTCCAGGGCATGGCGGGCATGGGGTGGAGGTTGAATAGGGAGGACTGGTCAGTGGTAACAGGAGTTTCTTTTTGAGATGATAAAAAGTTCTAAAATTTATTATGATGATTGTACAACTCTGAGGATTTACAAAAAAAATGAATTTTACTATTTAAGTGGTTTAATTGTATAATATATGAATTATATCTCAATAAAACTGCTACCTACCAAAAAAGAAATCAAGTTCTTGATGCATGATTTTAAATGAATGACCCTTGAAAACATACTAAGTAAAAGACCCAGTCAAAAATAGCCACATATTATATAACTGCATTCATGTGAAATATTCACAGTAGGCAAATCCATAGAGGCAGAAAGCAGATCAGTAGTTTGAAAGAGGAGAGGGGAAATGGAGAATGACTGCTACTGGGTGCAGGGTTTCTTTTTAGGGTGATGAAATGTCCTAAAACTGAGTAATAGTGATAGCTGCATACCCTAAAAGGTAGAATTTTGTAGTATGTGAATTATATTTCAATAAAGCTGTTATATAGAGACGTAAAAATTTTAAATGATAAAGTTATTCCTGTTAGGTAGGAAAAAATGTGTATGTGTATATAAAAGATGAGATTAGACATGAAAAAAGAAAGGAAGCAAAGAAGGAAAAAAGCAAGCAAGCTGATACATGCTGCAACATGGATGACTCTTGAAAACATGCTAAGTGAAACAAGCATGCTAAGTGAAAACATGCTAAGTGAAACAACCTTTGTATGATTCTACTTACATCAAATATCCAGAATAAGCAAATTTATAGAGGCAGAAAGTAGATTAGTGGTTATTTAGGGGAAAAATTGTTCATTGGTACATGGTTTCTTTTAGAGAGTAATAGAAATGTTTAAAAATAGATAAAATAAATTTTAAAATGTTTAAATACACTTTTTGTACTTATTACCTTTATTACAAAACAATACATATATGTTGGCACTTTAAAAAATCTTCAGATGGTAACTAGAGTAGCAGCTTGAGCATTGTGGGGCTAGCACCCACCCTATCATTATGAGCCTGTGGGGCCATCACATGGATATATTTGATAATGACACACCATAAGGACAATCTCATGTTATGGGGATTAAAACAGAACCTGCTCTCAGATGGCTTGTGGGCCAGCAAGAGAGGAGAGGAGAGAGATGTTTGCTACTTTGTGCTAAACTCCTACTTACCTTTTCCCTATAAAACTCTGCTCTTCATGTGGCCCTGGTGTTGAAGGCAATGTAGTCTGCTTTATAAAACAGCAGTCCAGCAGAAAATTACTGACTCTCTAGATAAACACTTAATGGGCATATATGTTTGACCCAACATTGAGAGAGTAATGTTTCTGGACATCTCTATATACACGCATATGCTCAGTATGCACCCATAATACACTTTGATTCTGCTGCTCTGTGATCTACTGACTCAAATCAGGTTCAGAACCAGTGTAGCATCTGTCACTACCTTGCCTCCCCTGCTTTGTGTGCAGAAAAACTGACAGGAAATCTTGGGCTATGAGTGGGCTTAAGAATGTCTCTCATTTCCATGCTTTGCATTAACCAGAGTGAAACTGTTGAATTGGCTCTATAGTGCCAAGCCCTCCCTGATCAAAAGATTACATTAGCACCAGTTGTGACCAAGTTTGTCAGAAATCAAAACTCTTGTCCACTTAACATATCTAGTGCTCATTGATCTTTTCCTGGAAGTGAAAAGAAAAAAAAAAAATCCAAAATCTCAAAATCTCAGCCTTAAATAAGGACAGTGAAGTACGTTATTATAACAGCACTCATTAAGAAATCAAATGAAGGAACGGGATTTGTCCATTCCATCAGATACAGCTTAATACAGTCTTGGAAGTAGATGCTGGTCCTGTGGTACAGGCCAGGGGAAGGCTGGTCATAAGTTTCATTATGATTGATTGCTTCAGTGAATGAAAAAAGCTGATCTCCCTTCTCTGAGGTGACATATTCCAGGGTTTCTTCCCCAAGCACATTAAGCAAAAGATTGAGATCAGGGGTGATCTTCAGGCCCCCTAAGTTATATTCTTTTTTTTTTTTAAGACAGAGTTTCGCTTTTATCCCCCAGACTGGAGTGCAATGGCACAATCTCGGCTCACTGCAACCTCCGCCTCCCAGGTTCAAGCGATTCTCCTGCCTCAGCCTCCCAAGTAGCTGGGATTTTAGGTGTCAACCACCACGCCTGGCTACTTTTTTTGGTGTGTTTTTAGTAGAGATGGGGTTTCACCATGTTGGTCAGGCTTGTCTCGAACTCATGACCCAGGTGATCCGCCCGCCTCAGCCTCCCAAAGTGATGGGATTACTGGCATGAGCCACCGCACCCAGCCAAGTTACATTCTTTGAGTTAATTTATGTTCCTTGCATACAAAAAAAAATACCCCCCTTCTCTCTCTCTCTCTCTCTCTCTTTCTCTCTCTCTCTCTCTCTCTGTCTCTCTTTCAGGTTCATGTGTGCACACACTTCTGGAAAGGAAGGAACAATAAGAGGGGGAAATGTAGAACTTTAGCAGAGATAGTAAACCTGAATGTCCCTCCCCGAACTCCTGCCTGCTTTTAGCAGGTTAGTCTTAGTCTTACTGAACACTATAAGGTGATGGGCTATAATAGTATTACCTGTGAGGTACTGCATAAGCCCCTCTTCCAAAACCATCTCCCCTACTCCCAGCAAGACTATCTGAAATTCCTCACACTGGATGCACTCATGAAGGTTGTTCTTAAGGAGCCATATATGATAACTATCAGGCCATTATGTTATAGAATGTATTGGGGGAGGTATTGAGGACAGTATAACATGTCAGCTAACTGCCCCATTCCCTTAAGACTGCATGGTTGGAATGGATAGCAGGAGTGGTGAGCTCTGTGGAGAGTCCAGGTAAGTCTGGCATTTAAGGCCAGGAGAACAGGCCTAAGTAGAACTCCATAGAGGGGGTCTGATTGATCCAGAGACAGCTGGGGATCCTAGGTGTCCAGACAGCACAATAGGTTGTGGAAATTTGGGCACTGCAGATGAATATCTGAATAGTGATGGCAGTGGTAGCTGGAAACAGTCTTTCCTATGCGCTTTGTGACTATAGCATTTCCCCTAGTATCCTGGGATGTGGAGAGAGGGATTTGGGTTATTTGCTTGAGTATGTGTTTTTATAGCAACACAGTGATTTCATGCTCACAGCCCAACCCACTCCCAGTTGATAGCTTTACTATATGAGGCTTTCATCACTCGTTAGGAGATTTTGGCCAGATCTGTAGTCTGAGAGCCAGGCAAGCAAACCAGACCAAGCCTCTTGAACGATGTAGGCCCTTCTTACCAGATCAAATAGGCCTCCAGCTCCTCAATGGCTGCAGGCCCCACATCTCAACTTATTTTAGCTGTGACAGGAAGGGCTTCCCTGAATATCTGTACTCTCTCAGTGCTCTTGGGAAACGGGGTATGCATTTGCCATGCTCTAACCCACTGAGCTGTGCAGCTCAGACAACAAACACGCATATGCACACAGAGAATAGCACTGTCGCCCCTCCCACCTCTGACATGACTGCATTGGCAATGACTGCAAGCCTGGCCCCCATAGGTGGGGACTCTTGGTGCTCCTAGTGATTTAGCTGCCAAAAGATGACCTAGATCCAACTGTTTGCCTCTTCCCCTGTCACCATCACTCTCCACCCCATCTGAGCTTACCTGGCCCCAGTTGGTTGCTTTTCCCGAACAGGCTCCAGAGAAGAGATGTTAATGTTGCTTCTGGACAAACTCGGTTCTAGAATTTCTTCTTCCTGGCTATCTTCAGCCTCTTTTTTCTTCTTCTTACCAAAAAAGCTCTTAAGGGCTTTAAATTTGGATTTCTTCTTTCCTGGAAGTGAAAAGTGAAAATGAGTCAGAGTGTGATGGTAGAAGGGAAGACAAGAGAGGAAACAGGGACTTCATGACAGGAACAAGGACCATGATCCCACCCAGGTGGCCTGCAGAGCTTGGTCTCAACCCCAATGCTCATAGCACCATTCAACATTCATTTAATTAGTTGTCCCCTTAGTAACTCAGTACCAAAGTGTCTCAGTTACTGGTGAAAGCAGAAGCTTAGGCCACAGCTTGCGATCTTTGGGCAGCCTCTATTCAGGCCAAACTCACTAGGAATTAATTTGCCTCTCAATTTCAGCTATTAACATACACACTTCTTTCTTTGTCCTAAGAAGTTCATGCATGTGAAGCAATGATTGAGCCCATGAAAGCACTTGATACTCCCGTAATTTTACCCCAGTGGCTGGAGTCATTGCAATCCAATAGGAGAGCCAAGCTTCCACAGGTGAAAAACACTTTAGAACCCTTAGAAATCCAAGTCCAAGTGGGAGTTGATACTTCCCAGCCTGCATGCTCAAAGGATGCAGACCTAAAGAGTGAGTGCGGTTGGTTGGTGCAGTCCAGGAACACTTCCTTGAGGAAGGAATTTATGAGCAAAGGAGGTGGCCGGGAATCAAAAAGAAGAAAGGGCTACCCAGGCAAAGAAGCTGCCTGTGTAAAAGGCATGTCAAAATCAGATACTAAAGAATTTTTCAAGGAGAGAGAGGAGAGAGAGAGAGAGAGAGAGTGTGTGTGTGTGTGTGTGTGTATGGTGTGTGTGTGTGTGTGTGTCTGTGCGAGATGATCATTGTGTGTGTTCTTCAACTCTTGCCAATTGGTTTGGATTATCTACAGGGCTGCTGCCTTTTGCACATGCAGCTAAATGTGAGTTTGCTCCATCTATAATAATCACCAGGGCAGCAGTGAGGAATGTGAGCTTTAAATGCTCTTAAGGTGCTGATTGTTTGGGATTTAGTTTCTTTTTCTTTTCTTTTCTTTCCTTTTTTTTTTTTTTTTTTTTTTTTTTTTTGAGACAGAGCCTCTCTCTATCACCCTGGCTGGCGTGCAATGGTGTGATCACCGCCCACTGCAACTTCCATCTCCTGGGCTCAAGCGATACTTGCACCTCAGCGTCCCTAGTAGCTGGGACTATAGGCATGAACCACCACACCTGGCTAGTTTTTGTAATTTTTTGTAGAGATGAGGCTTCACCATGTTGCCCAGACTGTTCTCAACCTCGAACTCTTGGCCTTAAGTGATCCACCCGCCTTGGCCTACCAAAGTGCTATGATTACAGGCCTGAGCCACCACTCCAGGCCTCTTTAGCTTCTTAATAAGCACATATGTCTTTATTGTGCTTATTAAGAAACTAAAGGGGATAAGGGGGAGAAGGCTTGTGATACATTCTTCAGAGGGAAGGAATTAGCAGTTAGTGATTTCACATGCAATAAGTACCAACTAAGCTATCTCATTCCAAGTCTCAACTGTCTGGTCTCCATAAGGCCTCATCCGCCCAGCAATTCTGTGCTGGCAATGAAGGGCCCAGACAAGGGAGTTGGCAATGCAGCAGCCATCATGAAAGGCTTGATGGTGTAATGGAAAGCATCACCCCAAGAGTCAGAAAATTCTGGAACCCTAGGCTTGAATCCACTATCAATTAGCTCTGTGACCTTGAGCAGGTCACTCAGCCTCTCTGGTACTTAGAAGGAAAATGAGAGGATTGCACCTGATCAGCATCTCCCAAAGTGTGTTCAGAGGGATGCTCATAAGGTTTGTTGCATGAAAAAGGGATTTGCAGTCCAGTCAATCTGGAAAAATCTGGATTAGACAAAGTTCAGTAGTCTGCTTTCCAACAAAACTTTTGTGAAACTCCAAAATGTTTATGTATATGGTGAAGTTCCAAGAAACCAGGCAACAATATTATCTCCCAATGTGTGTAAGCAGAATGTCTGGCCAAACACACTTTGGGAAATGCTGAACTAGAGTTCCTTTAGCTCAGAAATGCTGTGACCTATTTGTGCACTGATTAACCCTGAGCCTCCAGGGTAAAAGTTCCTAAACTTCAAGACCTGCCTTAAGTCCAGTTTCCCACCAATCAATGCAACTCATGCTTCTCTCTGTTCCCTGAACAACTAAAACTTGGCTGTTGGTATCACAAGTTTTGTATCTGAATGTTCTTAGCCTGCTCACTCATTCATTTGTTCATTCATCTACTCAACTAATATTTATGAAGGTTAAGAACTTATCATGTCCTGGGTATCAGTGAGAAAGAACTAAGATACAGTTCCCTATGTCTTAGCTACTGTCCCCACCTTAAGGCTGTAGGCAGGCCCCTCTTAGCATCCCCCCTTAGTAACTAGCTCAGTGCAAGGTGTGCAGTAACAGCTGTGTCCACTGGGGGATGAAGAATACCAACACAGCTTGTCACTTCCTTTGACTTGAGACCACTGAGCAGAATCATCCTTCAGCAACCTGTAATTTAAACACTGGCCCTTATAGGGGTTGATGCAAATTATAAATGACATAGGTGAAGAGCTTAGCATATGACCTGGCATGTAGTAAGTGCTCAATAAATGTGAACTAGTGTCAGGGATTCGATAATTACTTGCTTATTAGGGCCAGATTCAATTCTATCTATGGTCATCAGAAGCAGCCCCATATCTACAACTGAATAGTGAACTGTACAATATGCATAATTGGAGGCAGAAGCCAGCATGGAGTAGAGCAACGAAAGATCACAGATCTGTTATTTGATAATTGCTGCTTAAGTAATTTCTGTTTTGGATGACTTGGGCAATTTCTTGTCTACTAGAATGCACCTGTATAGGGCATGGTTGGGAAAACTTGGCAATTCTACCTAAAGAGAGAAAGAATAAAAAATGAAAAAGCAATAGGAAGCATATCTTTTCCCCAAGATCCCTTTTAAATTTTTTTCAGAAAAAAATTTAATTTCTACAATAATAAAATAATTAAGGCTGAGCACAGTGGCTCACATCTGTAATCCCAGCACTTTGGGAAGCCAAGGCAGGAGGATTGCTTGAGCTAATGAGTTCGAGGCCAGCCTGATCAATATAGCCAGACCTCATCTCTATTGAAAATTTTTTTAAAAATTAGCTGGGGATGGTGGTGAGTGCCTGTACTCCCAGCTACTCAGGAGGCTGAGGCAGGGGGATTGCTTGAGCCCAGGAAGTTGAAGCTGCAGTGAGCTATGACAATACTCCCACCTGGGCAATAGAGCTACATCCTTCCACCTCTGCCTCCCAAAGTGCTAGGATTACAGGTGTGAGCTACTGTGCCCAGACGATTTACTGATTCTTGACAGGTGGGTCTCATTCTGGCCTTCTGAAAGGGGAAGAACTTTATGCTCAGAAGATTTAGAAACACAGCAATTGTTGCCTCTCTTGCTTCAAAATCCCTTAGTGGAAGGGAGGAAGGCACAGCTAGGGAATTTGGAGTTGCAGACCTGCTTCTCATAATCCAGCAAAGACAGAGAAGAGAGTCAGCAGCTAGTAGCTCCCTTTGTGATACAATCTATAAACACTGAATAACTGCATAAAAACATGTCTAATAAACTCTTTAGGCTGTAATAATGAATTCAACAAACAATCATTGTATGAGCAGAAAATTCTACATTAACACATTTTTATGTTCCTAAATTAACAAAATGACTAGTGCTGTTGGAACTGTAACAGGTGCTAAAAGTTAAGTATGCATATATGCATATAGTCCAATTTCCCCCCAATTTTCCATTCTTTTCTGGCCAGAATCAACAATTATTTTCCCACAAAGATTCAAAAATAGCTAAAGCAACACGTGTGTCTTTTAACCATAGGCCCTAGAAGGAAAAGAATGTTTCCGTTCCAACCTGTAGGGCGGCTCTGAGTGTGGTGGTGCTTTGTTAGCTTGGTTAGCAGGGAGCTGGGGCGGCACAAAGAGATGGTAACTGCCAAACATGGTGGGTTGGCTGCTATTGCTCTAGGTCAGCTGGATACGACCTTTGTGACAACCCACTGCCAGACATACAATGTCAGTAGCAAGGGTCTATGTCTTCAGCCAGCTTTCCATTAGATCTCCCTAACCCAACTGCATTCGACACCCCCACCCCATCGCCCCCACTATCCCGTGTATGGAGACAAGCCCTGGTCTCAGCCCTGGGAACGAGATACAAAGCTGGGTACTGTCCACATGCTGTGTTACTTTTGAAACGCTAATGGAACCTGAGATGGTTGACATATATTCAAGTGTATACATTGGCCTTTCAAGCTTTCTTTTTTAAAGTAGGGGGAGCACCTTTAAATTGCCGGCAGCTGAGCCCTCCACAGGCTGGTTTTCAAAAGCTACAAAAAGCACAAAGGGTAGAGAGATCTAGACAGCAGGTATGGGTCAAAACTCACATTTGTATCCAGCAATGTTTATATGGGTCACCTATACATTGGGTAACTTATGGCACCACAGGGTACAGCAGTTGCAGTCAGTGAGCTGACAGCTGTCTGGACTTCTATAACAAAGCTATTGATTTCCCCGTGCAATCCTAAAGACTATGCATTCCCAAACAGCAAGTAGCTTTCAACATCCTCATCTAGTCAGGGTCTGCAGTGTGTCAAGTGCCAGAAAACAGCTCATTGAAGCAGTTTTTTCCCTAGAGAAGTAAACATAGCTAAATTTAATAAAGAAATGTTTCCCTCTGGGTTGTATATTTACTTATCCACCATGCATGCAGGCAGCCCATCTGAAATGAACTGAATGAGCTTTTAAAATGCATCACATAATGATGACCTTGTTCTCTTGCATTGCTGCTTGGAAAGAAAACATTTTCTTTGTTTTTTGAGATGGGCTTTTGTTCTGTCACCCAGGCTGGAGTGCAGTGGTGCAATCTCAGCTCACTGCAACCTCCACCTCCCGGGTTCAAGTGATTCTTTTGCCTCAGCCTCCCAAGTAGCTGGAACTGCAGGTGCCTGCCATCACACTCGGCTAATTTTAAAAAATATTTTTAGTAGAGACAGGGGTTCACCATGTTGGCCAGGCTAGTCTCGAATTCCTGATCTCAAGTGATCCACCCACCTCTGCCTCCCAAAGTGCTGGGATTACAGGTGTGAACCACCCCACCCAGCTGGAAAGAAAACATTTCTAACTAAACTTTCTTCCCTTTAACCTCCCAACAGCCACTTTATTCTCTGGCCAGCCCTAACTAGCTCTAAAACCGTACTCAATTATTCGGTCTTACAAAAAAAACCTTGAGAATGGAGAAAAGGCATTTCCTTACCACCACTCTTCATCAAGATGTACTGCACTGCCACCTTCTTTTGTAGGCATCTGCTTAGTTCATATCCAGAAAGATAGGTCAACTGGTTAGGTAGTTGGGTCTGCCTTGGTGAGGAGGCCTTTCACTCATTTATTCATTCATTCATTTATTAAATATTTTGGAGTGCCTTATCTCAATCTCTTCTCTTCTCTCTCTCTCTCTCTCTCTCTCTCTCTCTCACACACACACACACACACAACAGTGATAACACAGAAGACCCAAGCACTGCCATTAAGAATCCATGATCGGGTGTTCAGCATCCCCTGCCCCACATCATGTGTAAAGTCAGGCCCCTAGGAAGCCACAAGGCGGTTCCCCTCTGTTTTTCTAGAGTTTTCTGTACCATACACCGCTAAAGAAAACTCAGCAAAAGAATGGAAGAACAACCCAATTAACTGTTAAATTCAATTCTGTCTTCAAACTCAATGCCTCACATTCTGTCTTATGATTTCTTATTTATTTATTCATTTATTTATTGTGTGTGTATGTGTGTGTGTGTGTGTGTGTGTAAAGCTGATCATGTTTAGTGACATTTGCCTCCCTTTCTAATTTTTCCATTCATAATCACCTATCACTCACAGATGGTGCCACAATTTAGGCAATGGATACATGAGTAAGTTTTGCCAAAGATTTTCGTAAATTGAATCCTATTTAACAGAAGCCCGTTGTGGCATCTTTCGTTTCTATCTCCTTTCACTCCTCAACAAATTAATCTCTTGCTTAGATCTGAATTATTATCCACAATAAAACCTCAGTTGAATTTGTCAGATCATGGTCTGTTCTGATTGTATTTTTTTCTGATGAAGCAGGAAAAGCCTTGGTAAGTAAAACCTGGTAGCTATTTTCAAGGAAGATTGCAGGACCTCAGACAAATCTTTTGACTATCAGAGTTGGAAGTGACAAAGAAGAAATTAGAAAACTGAAAAGTAAACGTGACTGAGTCTAATGATCTGAGCTTGTTTTCTTATGTCTTGCTTCTTTGTCCTAAGAGCTAAATAAACACAGTAAACAAATCTAGTTCTGATTATCAAGGTTTTATTGGGTTACTTACCCTCATCACCAGCCTCCAGAACATCAAGACTGTCAGAAATTTCACTGGGTGATTCAGCCATGGTGGGATGACTAAAATACAAAGCAAAAAAGCAGAAGATCATCATTTGATATCAGGGTGTAATGCAATCCTATCACCCTACCCCTTATCCTTCAGTTATATTCTAAAAACAGTCTAGAAAACATATACAAATGGTATTGCCATTACAGAGAATTATCCTTCCTTTAAAAAAGACAATGATTTCATTTACATAAAATGTCCAGAATAGGCAAATACATAGACACAGAAAATGTCATGCTTAGGCCTGGGAGAATGGGTTTTATTTGAGGGGGGCACGTAGTAAAGAGTACAAAGTTTCTTTCCTTCCTTCCCTCCTTCCCTCCTTCCCTCCTTTCTTTCTTTTCTTTCTTTCTCTCTCTCTCTTTCTTTCTTTCTTTCTTTCTTTCTTTCTTTCTTTCTTTCTTCCTTTCGAGACAGGGTATTGCTCTGTTACTCAGGCTGGAGTGCAGTGGTGTGATCACAGCTTACTGCAGCCTTGACCTCCCAGGCTCAGGCGAAACTCCCACCTCAGTCTCCCAAGTAGTTGAAACGACAGGTGCATGGCACCATACCCAACTAATTTTTGAACTTTTAATAGAGACGGAGTCTTGCTATGTTGAACTAGAACTCCTGGGCCCAAGCAATCCTCCCACCTTGGCCTCCCAAAGTCCTGGGATTACAGGCATGAGCCACTGTGCCCTGATAGGGTTTCTTTTTGAGACAATGAAAATGTTCTAAAATTGATTGTGGTGATGATTGCACAAATTTGTGACTATATTAAAAATCATGGAATTGTATACCTTAAATAGGTGACTTATATAGTATGTGAATTATATCTCAATAAAGCTGCTACCAAAAAAAAGACAAATGCAAAAAACCTGATGTATTGTTTTGTGCTGGGTCCCATTAGCTTTGAATGCCTATTACTATTCATGAGTGTGCCCAGGGAGACAAAATTGTTTTGATAAATATGCAGAGACATAAAGAAAAGACTGAAACATCTGACTGCACAAAAATTTCAGGCCAGGTACAGTGGCTCATGCCTGTAATCCCAGCTCTTTGGGGAGCAAAGGCAGGAGGATCACTTGAGCCCAGGAGTTTGAGTTGAGGCTGGGAAACATAGCAAGACCTCATTTCTACAAAAAAAAAAAAAATTAATAGCTGGGAATGGTGGCATGTGTCTGTAGTCCCAGCTACTAGGGAGGCTGAAGTGGGAGGATCACTTGAACCCAGGAGATTGAGGCTGTAATCAGCCATGATCACAACATTGCACTCCAGTCTGAGTAACAGAGCTAGACTCTGTCTCAAACAAAAAAAAAAAAAAAAAAAGTAAAACTTATGGCCAAAAAATAAGTCAACAAAAGAATGACAAACTAGGAAATAATACTAGCAACAAACATGACAGATACAGGGGCCAAATTTCTTAATTTATAAAGAGCTCATATAAATCAATAAAAGACAAACAACTTGGTCTAAAAGGGACAAAGAATATGAAGCAGTTAACAGAAAAAGAAATACAAATAATCATATATGAACAGGCTCCATCCTTCTAATAATTAAAGACATAGAAATCAACATATCAAATGAATATTGTCATTTATCAGATTGTCAAAAACCTTAATTTGGATGATATCACATTGCTGACAAAGGTGGGAAAAATAGGGACTCTCATACACTCTGGAGTAAATAGTTCTAACTCTCTAAAGAGCAATTTGGTAGTATCTATCAAAATTTAAAATGCACATACCTTTTGATCCAGGAACATCACTTCTCAAACATTACCTTATAGATATATAATCACACTCGCACAGAACAATATACATACAAGAATGTGTATCAGCATTGTTTTAAATAGTTAAAAATGGGAAACAACCAAAGTGATCATGAAAAGGATAATTCTCCCATGACTCTATGTCATGCTTCTAAGGAAGCATGATGATTGATAACCAAACTTTTAGAAATCAATGCTGACATTATTTTTAGAGACGGGGCCTTTCTCTCTTGCCCAGGTTGGAGTGCAGTGGGACAATTATAGCTCACTGCAGCCTCAACCTCCTGGGCTGAAGCGATCCTCCCACCTCAGCCTCCATAGCAGCTGGGACTACAGGCATGCTCCACCATGCCCAGCTAATATTTTATTTTATTTTATTTTATTTTATTATTTGGGGTCTCACTATGTGCCCAGGCTAGTCTTGGACTCAAGTGATCCTCCTGCCTTGGTCTCCCAAAGTGCTGGGATTACAGGCATGAGCCACTGTGCCTGGCCCAATGCTGACATCCTTGATGAATGTTTGTGGGTGGGGGGGAGCGCAGGGGAGATCTGATGAGTACCATAACCCAGAGAAAGAGAAAGTGTGCTATATTCATCCATGCCAGAAGGCTGTAGAAAGGCAAGCAGAGACTTTGCTCCTATGATTACTCTCCTTGAGTTCTTGCTGTAACTGAATGAACTATTGTAAAGTGGGGTTAAGTAGATTCTAGAGCCCCCTCGCCCGCTCCAGATTTTCACTGTTCCCAGACATAGCTATGCTGCCATTGCTGTTTATGGGTGGGCTTCAGGCCCATCCTGTCCTGCTTTCTAGCTGTAAACCCCTGATGCATCTCCAGAGGTTGGGGGAGGGCGTGGGTGGTGACCACAGGCTCTAAGGCTAAGGGGAACTTGAGAGTTCACATAGCCAGATTGACTGAGGCCTTGGAGAACAAAAGGTTCCAAACCACCATGAGAACTCACAAGGCTGTGCTATCAAGATTGCTTCAGACCCACTTACCAAGATGCCCTGTGGTTCCCCACAACGTGTATTCTCCCTCACTGCCACAAGTAATAAACCCAATATGTTCAACTACAGTTATGTTCCTGGCTGGAAGGTATTGATACTTAAAGTCACTCAACCTTTATGAGTTAATATTACAATTCTGCCTAAAGATGACTGAGTCCCAGGCTCTCACAGTGATCAGTAATTATCCCCCTCCACACACACAGGGACACATGCATATACACACCCTCTCCACTCCATAACCATGCCGCCTTTCGAGAGCCCACATCAATGCATTTATATACCAATGCATTGTCCTAGAATGAACGGCTTTTCCTCTGGCATTCCTGTCTCTGCTAGTTTTCCAAGATCTGGAGATCTGGCAGGAGCAGAGGTAGGAAGATTCAACATCTGACTGGGTGCAGTGGCTCACACCTGCAACTCCAACACTTTGGAAGGCCAAGGTGGGTGGATCACTTGAGCCCAGAGCTTCGAGACCAGCCTGGGCAACATGGCAAAGCCCAGTCTCTACAAAAAATACAAATTAGCCGGACATGGTGGTGCATGCCTATAGTCCCAGCTACTCAGGAAGCTGAGGTGGGAGGATTGCTTGAGCCTGGGAGATTGAGGCTGCAGTGAGCCATGATCATGCCACTGCACTCCAGCCGGGGTGACAGGGTGAGAACCTGTCTCAAAAAAAAAAAAAAAAAAAAAATTGAAAGCTTTTAGGAAATTCAGAGGGAGAACAGGAGGAATTCATGTCACTGCTAAGTTCCTGGCCATCTTAATAAACACAGCAGCACCTCCCCCCACCCCTGCCACTATAGAAGCCTTTTTAGACATTAACCAAAATGTCAGGCCATAGTAGGCTAACAGTGCCCTTGACCTACCACTGTCAGGGGTAGAAGAAAGAAAGGGAAAAAAAGGATACTAAAGAGAAAAATATGAAAGAAGAGGGGCAACAAAGAAAGCAGGCATCTTGCCTGCATCTGAACTTTTAGAGCACTAATAGAATCATTGCATTTAACCCTTGAGCTTAGACTGTCCTGTCCGAAATTCTTTGTAGCGTACTTGCGTTATTTCCTCAACCAAATCCTAAAAGCCCTGAGGCTTTTAGCAGGCACTCTTTTGACAACACCACCATCAGCAAACCAACTGGATACGTGGAACGATCTCCCCTCCTAAACAACCCAGCAACTACAGCAAAACACGCAATTTCACCTTGAGTTCAAATCCCCTTGCTGTTACCATCCATTCCTCTGCATCTCTTTAAAATAAAACTCTTTAAAGAGTTATCTATACTTACTGCCTCTATGTCCTCACTTTCTATTCTCATGAGCTCTCCAATCAGGCTTCCAAGCTGAACTGCTTCCAAGCCATTCCACCAACACTGCGCTTGTTGAATTCCCAGTTACTTAAACTTTCAGCAGCATCTGACGTGATTGGTCACGCCCTTCTTTTTGAATAATTTTATCACTTGCCTTCCAGAACACCACACTCCCTTAATTTTTCTCCTACCTTATTGGCTGTTCCTTCTGGGTTGCCTTTGCTGGATCTCTCCCCCCTCCCTGATTTTGAAATGTAGCACTGCAGGGCTCTGACCTTGGCTCTCTTCTTTGGTCTAAAATCACTTCCTAGACCCTCACCATTAAACAGAAATGTTAATGTGAGCAGAATTGCAAGCCACATATTTTCAATTTTCTAGTAGCTACATTTTTAACAAGAAAAAAAGGAAACAGGTGAAACTGCATTTAATAATATGCTTTAACCCAGTATAACCACATTATGATTATTTCAACATATAATCCCTATAAAATAATATTTTTTATATTCTTTGTGTTCACACTAAGCCGCCACATCAGCTGCATCAGCCCCCTGCTCCAAACCCCCCAGTGGCTTGCCATCAAGCTCAGAGTAAAATCCTAGCCCCTTACCATGGGCCTTACATGATGCAAGCCCACCCCCATGCTCCACTGACCACTAATCCAGGTACCCCCCTACTTCATCCCTTCACCTAGCCTCACTGGCCCTCCTGGAAATGCCCCCTTTCAATCCCAGAATCTTTGCATTTGCTGCTCTCTCTGCTTAGAAGCCTCTTTCCCCAGATAGTTACATGGCTGGCTTCCTTGCAGCATTCAAGCATCCAGTGTTACTTCCCCCAGAGAGCACGTCCATGATCAGCCTAGTTAACATGCTCCCACTCTCTCTCCATCCCAGTATTCTTTATTAACATCTTCATAGCTCTCACTGCTACATAAACTTATGTTAT